TCTCTCTCTCTCTCTCTCTCTCTCTCTCTCTCTCTCTCTCTCTCTCTCTCTCTCTCTCTCTCTCTCTCTCTTTGGTACAAGCATGGCACTGATCTCCTCGTCGATTGCGCAACACACACACACAGGTGGCTCGTTTCACTGCTCTTCCTCCCGTGGGCGCCAGCGATGCGCTGCGCTCCATCCGCCTCGGTCTTCCCGGAGCGCATCAAGCCTCCAACGCGCAGCTGGCCCTTGCCCTCACGCGCGGCTTCCTCGCCTCTTCGGCCGCTCAGGCCGCCTTTCGCCTGTCGCAGCCGAGCGACCTGGCGTGCCAGCTTGGCGCGCCGCCTCTTGCGTGGGAGAGGACGGCGCTAGAAGAGGCTCAATGGCCGGGCCGATGTCAATGCGTGCCCACGACGACGACGAAGGCCGAGGAAGCAGCTGTCACTTACTTCCTCGACGGAGCACACACGACTGACAGTCTCGCACACGCCACGTCCTGGTTCGTCGATGCCTCGCCGCCGCCGCCGCCTCCTCCTGCCTCCACTGCGGCAGCGAAGACGCAGACGCAGCGAGTGCTGCTGTTCAACTGCACGCATGGACGCAGTGCGAGGGAGCTGCTCGAGGCGCTCTTGCATGGCATCGAGGACGCAGAGAGGGATAAGGCCGTCTTTGACCACATCATCTTCTGCACCAACGAGACCTACCGGCACGGCTCTTCTGGCGGTACGTGTCCTCCTGCCCTCTTGCCAGACTGAGGCGGCGCCCCCAGCTGACGCGCAAACGCGCAATACCCAGATCTGACGAGCAAAGGAGAGGACTCGGACGAAGTCAAGGCATTGGTGGTGCAGCGCGAGCTCGAGGCTGCGTGGCTGACGCTGCGGCCTCGAGATGCAGCCAAAGTGCAGGTGCAGCCGAGCATCGAGGAGGCGCTGCGCCGTGTGCGCCAGCTGGCAGCAGCGCCAGAGGCGCCACAGGCGCACGTCAAGACCGACGTCCTCGTCACGGGAAGTCTGCTGCTGGTGGGGGGCGTCATGGCGCATCTGAAAGATGCGGGAGACCTTGATGATGCTCTCGTCAGCACGCGGACATAGCACAAAACAAAGGGGGGGGGGGGGCAAGATGGCAAATAAGATTGCAGCAAACCAGACTCTCGCTTTGCGTGCTTCCCCCACCCCCACCCCCGCCCCCCCCTTCCCTCCAACCGAATTTGCCTACCGCTCTCAGGCTGGCTATGGGGGGGCTACGAATACTTGTCCTTGTGGATCCACGACAGCCCGACAGTGTCGTAGCCCTGCGCCTCGGCCATGCGATAGTACTGCGCCGCGCGCTTCAGGTCCTTCTTGCAGCCGCCCTTGCCGGCGGCCAGGAGCGCGGCAGCTTCGGCCTGCGCATCGGCATCGCCCAGCTTGGCGGCGAGCTCGAAGTACTCGAGTGCCATGCGCTCTTTGCGTAGAAAGAGAGAGGAGATCAGTGAAAGAACAGCGCGGGAAGAAGAGGGAGAAAGAACGCACTGTCCATCTTGACGCCCCAGCCGTAGCAGAAGCACTTGCCGAGCTCATACACTGACAGCTTGAGCTCCGACTATTGGGGGCGCGGCAGAGCGTCAGCTACGTCGTCGCTCCTCACTCTCCGTCCTTCCGCTCTGTCTCTTTCTATCTCGGGCACTCACTCGAATCGCGCGCAATTCCCCCTCGCTCTTCTTGCCCTCTCCACTCATCATCTCGCCCGCTCTAGCGGCCGCCCTCGAGATCCACTCAAAGCCTCTCTTGGGATCCTTTCGCGCGCCCCACCCCTCTCGCAGCGCCATGCCCCACATGCACATGCCCACCACACAGCCGCCATCGACGCGCGCCGAGCGCTCAAAGTAGTACGCCGAGCGCGCCAGCTCGCCCGTCTCGTGGTGCGTGATGCCTTGAGAGAGAAGCTCCTCGGCCGCCGAGGGCCCAGTGCGCGTGTCGACACGCAACGGCGCCGCGCGCCCAGCGGCTGGCACCGAGGCAGCTCCGAGGCCGAGAGTGCGCGCACTGGGCGCGGCGCCAGTGCCGACGGAGGAGTACGACACGGCCGAACGCAGGGCGGGCTTGTTGCCCTGCGCAGGCTGTGCGGCCGCCGGCGTCTGCGCTGCGCGCTGCGACGCTGCGGGCGCAGAGATGGGCGCAGTGGGAGGCCATGCTGCAGCTCCTCGGTGCGCAATCGTGTGGCTGCGCTGAAGCTCCTCCGTCCACGCCTCGGCCTGCGGACTTGGCTGCGTCTCGGCGCGTCGCGGCGGTTCCGACGCTCTCACGCGGGCCGCATGATCCCAGGCAGTAGGCGCTTGAGGCGAGCGCAATGCGGAAGAGGTGTTGGCGCTCGAAGTCGAGCCCGAACGAGCAGAGTACATGCTCTCCAGACTCTCCCTTCGTCGTGCCGACACTGCACCGTGCGCAACGGCCTCGTGATCGTAATGCACAGTGCCGACGGACATGCGAGAGCTGGCGAGGGTGCTGCTGCTGTCTCTTCGCGAGCTGCCGTCGAGACGCAGCGTCTCGACATCGAGATCAGACACGATGCTCTCGCGTCCATCGGCGTCGCGAATGGCTTGGGCACGCGCGCGGCCCAGGCCCAGTGGCGGAGACGCGGCAGTAGGGCCGGCGTTGGGATCCGCATATCCAGCGCCGCCCATGCCCGCGTCGAGAGGAGGAGGCGGCGGAGCGCGCCCGCCCGGGTGGCCATGCACACCTGGCTGTCCTGTGCTGCGCGCAGAGACGCGTCCGCCAGATGTCCGTCGTGCGCCATCCGGCGTGAGGATCGGCGAGCCCAGCGGCCGCGCCAGCACCACAGATGGGCCCACAGCTTGCCGCAGCGCCGGAGCTTGATGCTCCTCGACCGTCTCAACGCGCGCGCTCCACGCTTGCATGTCGTGCTGCGGGCTACGCGAGTGATGCATCTCGCCTCCGAGCAGACTTGCGCGTCCGCCGGAGTGGTGACTTGACGCAGAGCCCGCAGGCGTCGGTGGCCAGACGTAGACGTGGGCGTTGCCCACGCTGCGTTCACTGCCGCTGCCGCTCCCGCCGCCGTTGCGCAATGTCGACGCTGAAGCGATGGACGAGACCGAATCGCGGTTGCTTGCGCGCGCCTCGTCCGAGTCTGCGCCAGCACCGACGCCAATGCCTTGAATGTCGGCCATGACGCTGCGAATCGTGTCGCGCCGCGAGGGCGTATGTGGGGCGCCTTGTGGAGGCACAGGAGAGCGCACGAGAGAAACGACGTGCTCGTTCTCTGCGTCTTGATGGTAGCTAGCCTCCGCCTCCTCGACGCCCGCACCTTGACTGCGCCGTGGGCCTGGAGCACTTGGCGTGACGGCAGCGACGTGATGCAGTGCAGCGGCGTCCTTGAACTGCGGACTGGATCCTGCTCTTCCGCATGCTGGCCTTGCGGAGCTGGGCAGATCGTCCAGCCCTTGCCCAATCGCCAATCCCCGAAGCCCCGCAAGTGTCGTTATGCCACCGTCTCCCTCCTCCCCATCGTCTTCATCGTCGTGCCCATACATGCTTTCGTCATCCGCCGAGTTGGCCCAAGCGCGCCCCCATCTCCCTCCTTCACCAAACTCGCTCGAGCGCACAGTGTTGACACTCTCGCGGCGCTGCAGTTGCGTGAGGCCGCGCAGCGCTGCCGCCACTTCATCTTCGCTGCCGCCGTCGCCCCACGGCGCCGCTCCGCCGACGATGGACTCGCGCTCGTGAGCGCCCGTCAAGCTGTTGAAGCTCATGTCCGACGCGACCGAGCTGCGAAAGGCGCCATGCCCTAGCAGCTGGGTGCTATCGCGCGCCTGAGGCGGGCCCGCTGTACTGCTCGATGCAGACGTGGCCGCAAAGCGTTGAGGCCCAGGTCCATCATCGAGCAGCTCGACGCGCACATGCGACAGCTCAGCTTGCTGCAGCCGCGGCGAGGGCTGCGGCGAGGAGGCACCTTGCTGCTGTTGCTTGCCGAGACGAGCGGCACGTTGTCGACGCACCTCGTCACGCCGATGCGACTCGGCTTCGTCGCCGCTGCTGCTGCTGCCTCCTGCTGCGCCACGGCTGCTGCCCAGCTCGGAGCCGAGCTCTTCACTCGGGACACGCGGCGCTTCTCGCCGCACAGACGGGGCACGCGAGATGCCGAGTGCGCGAGAGTAGAGGTGCTGCGCCTGCTGCTCGGACGGCGGCTGCGGCGGGCGAGGCCGCGAAGGGCCCGCGGCGCTGGTGCTGCTGCTGCTGCTGCTGCTGCTGCCGCTGGCGTCACTGACGACGCCGTGTGCCAGGGCATCGAGCGGCGAACGCGCGGCCTGCCATGCCGCCGCTGCGGGTGCGAGACGCGGCTGCGACGAAAGCGGCATGGCGGCTGTGTGCTGAGAGCGAGAGGAGGTGCGTGGAGTGGAGAATTAGGCACGCATGACCTGCGTGGAGGGATGGAGGCGAGGGTGAAGCGGAGAGGAGGGAGCGCTGAGGAGGGAGAGAGCGTGCGACGCTGGAAACAGAGCGAGGCGTGAGAGGCGTGAGAGGCAGCCAGGTGACGCAGAGCGCAGGTGGGTGAGAGAGAGGTGGAGTTGGTGGTTGCGGTCACCGCCAAAGAGACGATAGCTGCAGGGGCCAGCAGCCGTGTCACTCTCGGTGATGTGTGGGGCGCGCGGCTCGTGCCTCGCTCGGTGTTGCACGGCGCGCGCGGCGCGGCCGCGGCGGAGGTCCGGCAGCGCGCGCGGCGGGAGCTGATCTCGCCACTGTGCCGCTGCCGCCATGCCGCCATGCAGGAGAGCGAGATCTCGCCCTCGGCCAAGCCACGGCCGCGCCGGGCATCTCGCTCAGCCTCGGGGGAGCGGGCGGCGCGCACGTGACGCCGGCCGTGAGAGAGAGAGAGGCCGCGGCCGAGTCACGCGGCGCGCCGTGCCGTCGTCTCGGTGCTGGCACCGCGGCCGCCTCTCCGTCGCGCCCTCCTCCCACCCCTCGCCGCGCCCTCAATTCGTTATCGCCGCGCCCCTGCACTTCTTGCGCTCGCCGGGCTTGCTTCCTCCTCATTCTTGCCGCCGTATAAGAAGCCAGCGCATCGTCCAGCGCGACGTGGCCCAGCATGTCGCTCCGCTCCGCGCTTCTCCGCTCCTCTCGCTCTCTCCTCGCCGCGTCATCGCGCGCGCCGCCTGCTGCCTCTCGCTGCCTCTCCCACGCCGCTCCTCGGCCACGCCTCATGGCGCCCTCGCTCGACGTCGCGGCGCGCGCCGCCTCGTCGCACACCGTCGACGGGCCCGCCGGACAGGTGGCCGCGCCCGAGAGTGTCGCGGGCGAGCAGGCCGCCGGCGCGCGCGACATCGCTGCCGCTGACCTCGTCGTCACGCACGTCGAGCAGCGCAAGTCGCCGCCGCCTGCCTCGGCCCTCGTCTTTGGCCACACCTTCGCAGACCACATGCTCGCCATCGAGTGGACGAGCGCAGAGGGCTGGCAGGCGCCGCAGATCAAGCCGTACGGGCCGCTGGTGCTCGACCCCAGCAGCGTCATCTTCCACTATGCGCCGTCGCTGTTCGAGGGCATGAAGGCCTACAAGGACGTCGAGGGCAAGGTCCGCCTCTTCCGCCCCGACATGAACATGAAGCGCATGAACACGAGCGCAGAGCGCATTGCCCTGCCGGTGAGTGGCAGCGAGCCGTGGAGATGCAGCGTGCGGGAGAGAGAGATGCTCTGAGGGCGCGGACAGGCCATGCCTTGAGAAGAAGGCTCGTGAACGGCGAGGCATCGGCTGCGGCGCCGGTCTCGAGCGGGCGTGGCGCACACAGCTGCTGCAGCAGCGCTCCATCACGAGGCAGGCCTCCGTGGCCGCCGAGCTGGCTCAAGATCGGCGCACCGGCGCTCTGGTTCCCTCGCTGTGGGGGGCCTCGCACGCTCGGGGTGGTCTGACTTCGTGCCGTGTTTCAAACGACTCACACTCCTGCCCTTCGCTCGCCTCAGACGTTCTCGGGCAAGGAGCTGATCAAGCTGATTGCCAAGCTCGTCGAGCTCGACGCCGCCTGGATTCCCTCCGAGCCGGGCCACTCTCTCTACATCCGGCCCGCACTCATCGGCACACAGGCGGCGCTCGGCGTGCACCCCACCACTGATGCCTTGCTCTTCGTCATCTCCTCGCCCGTGGGCCCCTACTACAAGACGGGCTTCAAGCCCGTCGCCCTCGAGGCGGACCCGGCGCGCGTGCGCGCCTGGCCCGGAGGCACGGGCAACTTCAAGCTGGGCAGCAACTACGCGCCGGGCATCCGCCCGCAGATGGAGGCGGCCAAGCGCGGATACCAGCAGAACCTCTGGCTCTTCGGCGACGAGCACTGGCTCACCGAGGTCGGCACGATGAACCTCTTTGTGGTGCTGAAGAAGGGCGAGGGTGAGTTCGTCGTTGCATCGGCGCTTGAAGTGCGACAAGGGAAACGAGGAGGTTGACCTTGTTCCGCGCCAGGCATCGAAATCGTCACTCCCCCACTCGACGGCATGATTCTTCCCGGCGTCACGCGCGACTCCATCCTCGCCCTCGCACGCGACCACGCCGCGGGCAGCATCGCGCTCGAGGGCGTGCCGCAGCAGGTGACGGTGTCGGAGCGAGGCATCAACATGGGCGAGATTCAGCAGGCCGAGAAGGACGGCTCGCTGTGCGAAATCTTTGGCGCTGGTACCGCGGCTGTCGTCAGCCCTGTGGACCGCATCGTGAGTGTGCCCCGCTTGCCTCTCTTGGCTGTCGAGCCAGATCACTGTAAGCTGACAAGTTTGTTGGCGCGGGGCAGGGATACATGGGCAAGGACATCCACATTCCCGTCGGCGAGGGCGGCGTGGGAGCGGTGGCAAAGGCCATGCTGCAGCGCATCCAGGACATCCAGCTCGGGCGCGTCGAGCACCCGTGGAGCGTGCTGGTGGAGGACCTCGTCAAGTGAGGGGGGGACCCAACAGGCTTGCGGTACGGGGAAGGGAGAGGTGGGGCGCCACTAGATAGATGGAGTTGACGGGATGAGGCACGCCTTGAAAAAGCAAGCTAGATGTAACGCGCCTCGGCTTTCCCTGTCACACTTCTTCATGCACTTCTTTCATCAGCTGACGCCTGATGCGACGGCCGTCTTCGCTGGCTCGCTGCTCAGCCCCCCGTCTGACGCGGTGCTACGCACGTGGCCGAGTGGAAGCGAGGTATGCGATTGGATGAGCGTCTACGTGTCTATGTGGGGGATCTCTATGGCACCGCTTCACGGACATCTAGCGGCCCGAGGGTGAAGGGTGGGGCGAGGTGCCGATCTCATTTGATGGTGAGCACGGGGCAAGGCGCATGCTGCGTCAGATGCGTCGAGGTGGCACCCACGCCTGCGCCGAGACCGTGAAGACCCTTGCGAGTGCGCTTTCCACAGACGACCTGTGTTGAGTGCGGTCAGCTCAGCATCGATGCTCGCTGCTGGCAATCAAGAGACGGCAGGTGGGGGAGCGGCACAACTCACCAGATCCACCTCGTGGTACTGCGCCACGCGCACGAGGCTCTGCCGCGGGTCGCCGTGCAGCACGTGCGTCGTCGTGGCGTAGCCCGCGGCGCGCAGCTGCGCCTTGTACGGCTGCAGCTTCTCCACGGCCTCTTCACGCAGCGCCTTGAGCATGACGTTCTGCTGGCGTGCGTCGATGGAGAGAGGACCCGAGACCCAGGGTCCGCTGAGCACGTTTGCAGGCAGGACGGAGGCGACTGGAAGAGAAGACAGGTCAGAGACGTGGCTGCGTTTTGCGCAACGAGGAGCCAACTCACTGAACACATGCGCTCCCTTGGCCACCACCTTCGTCTCGAGCAACCACTTCAGCGCCTTGTCTCCCGCCTCGGTGCCATCGAGTGCCAGCATCACCTTGCACCCCTCTGCCTTGACCTCGGCGCCCGTTGCGCCCACGATGGCCTGCGTGCGCGCCTCGTCGGGCACGTCGCGCCGGTCGAACGGGTTGCTGCTCTCGAGCGCCGGCGTCTGCGCATGCTCGTGCGTCGGCGTGGCCGTGCCGTCGGCGGCGCCGGCGTGCGTGCGGCGACGACCGCCAGGGAGATGCAGAGAGGCCACGGAGGCGAAGAGCTTCTTGGCGGGCGAAGAGGGCTCGCTTTGCCCAGCGCTGCCGCTGCCGTTGGCGGCGGGCACGTCGACTGCGACGGGCGCGGGGGCTGGGGACTGTGTCATGATCAGAGATGGCCGTGGATGTCGCGAGTGAGGCAAGCGTAAGGTGTCGCTGGCTCTTATGGGAAGCTCAGGCTGTGGCGAGCTCGCAACGCAGATACGGCCCTCGGTGCGAAGCTGTGCGCACAAGGCCGAGGCATCGGGCCACCGTCCGCCCGTGCATGCCCGTTGCCCAAGCAGCGTCGAATCTGGAGCTTGCGAACTGCCGCGGCAGATCTCTGCTTCAGCACGCCAAGTGTCGCTGTCGGTACCACACCGCTGGACATCGCTCGGGCGGACGCTTGGCCGAGCCGGCGGCTCGAAACCACGGCGCAGGTCGCCGCGTCAGGATCGGCGCCTCGGCGTCTTGTGCCGCGCCGTCGGTCGGATCTTGCCGCGGCGAGTCTAGTCGTGTGGCGCATGCTCTCACGCTCGCTGACAAGCTCTCTCCGACTCGACCGCTTCTACATGCAGGCGTGGCGGGATTGGAGGCAAGGCGGAGAGCCGGCAGTTAGATAGGATTGAGAAAGACGAGGCACGGCGCGCCTGCGGGCTGTAGCAAGCCAAGCAGGGCGCAGGGGTTGGGGGGGATGGAGGGGCCACGACTCGTGGTGTGGCAGGGTATCGAGAGCGCGTGTAGAGAGGGGCAATGTGCGATGGGTGTGTGAGGCATGAGGTAGGAGGGAGTGGCAGGCGCAGTGAGGGGTGCCATCGAAGAGGCGGAGGCGTGCGGCTCTAGGAGGTCTTGTCGAAGATGCTCGGATGCTCGATCATGTCTGTGCGAAGGCGCGTGTCAGTGAGAGCAGCAGTGCGGGGCGGAGGCGCTTGCCACGCACACTCGATCGTCATGGCCTTGCCGCCCATGTGTGCAAACTCCTTGGACGGGTCGCCCGAGCGCATCAGCGTGGCTGATAGCCAAAAGCCAGAGGTCAGCGCAACGCTTCACACATGTCATCTCACGCGGCCACACTCACGCCCGAACACGACGCCGAGGTTCCTGGCGTTCATGCGGTTCTCGTCGCTCGAGAGGCGCACACGATGTAGGTGCCGGATGAGGTAGCGCAGCGTGTCGTGGTGCTGTCGTGGCAGGCGCGCCACGAGGGCACGCATGTTCTCTTCTCGCTGGGCCGCGTCGTTCTTGAGCTCGGCAGCCTCGATGAACTGCTCGTGCAGCTCAAAAGTGAGGAGCGGCTCAGGCAGCTCGCGGAAGTAGTTCTTCAGCACCGACGTGATGGCCGAGACGTCGTTGAAGCGGTCTGCGTCCTCCAGATCGAACGGCTGGCCGCGCTCGAAGAGCTGTGTGATGACACGCAGCTGCGAGGTGCCGCCCGACTTGCGGTAGATGCCCTCGTAGTCCATGCCCATCGCCTCGACGGCAGCAATGCACTTCTCGACGACGAGCGGCACCTCGTGGCCCTCGGCCGCGACCTGTTCGATGAGCGGACGCCCAAACATCGACGGTCCAGCCTCGAAGGGCTCGTCGCTGCGCGAGAAGGGCTGGTTGCACGACGTCGGCAGACTCTGCAGGCAGCGCTGATGGCATGCCTGGCCGCAGAGCGCACAGCGCACCTCGGACTGGCCCCACATGCTCTTCTGGCACGCAAAGCAGCGCACCGGGCGCAGCATGCTGAATGGCTGGAAGAGATGCTCGCGCACCACAATCTCGTTGGGCACTGCCACTCGCTGTCCTGGCGTCTGAGGCGCTTGGCCGCTGCTCGAAGGCGCGGGCGAGGAGAGGCCCTGTGCGGAAGGCTGTGCAGAGCCAGGCGCCAGCTGGCTGCCCGAGCCCGTGCCAGCCTCGCCCGCGGCCGACACTGCCTTGGGCGGCACGGGCGGCGAGTGGCCCAGCGGCAGGTTCATCGCCGCCGCCGCGACGGCAGCCTTGGCCGAGTCGTGCAGCTTCGGCTTCATCCACTTGAACTTCTTCGGCGGCGCCGCCTCGATCTTCGTCACCACCGGCGAGGCGAGGCGGTGGATCGAAGAGTGGTCGTGCGTGTACGTCGAGTCGGACGCGGCAGACGAGGGAAACGTGTCGGTCGTCGCGGACGTCGAGCGCGAACCGCTTCCGTAGCCTTTGCCGTGCGTCGAGCTGCTGTGCGACGAAGTGCCGCGAACAGGCGTCGAGGAAGGCAGCGGCGGCAGCTGCTCTCGCTCCCGGCCGTCGGCTCGCAGCCGCGCCGTGCGCGACTCGGTGTCCTCCATGCGCCGCGTGAGCTGCGCCAGGATGCCGTTGAGTTCGTCATTGCGCTGATTGAGCTGCTTCGACTCCTCGAGGTACGTGTCTCGCGACTGCTTGAGCTCCTCGATCTCGATGAGCAGCGCATCGCGCTCGAACGTCAGCTCGTCAATCTCCTTGCGGTACTTGTCCTTGACGCCCTCGAGACGGACGCTGAGGTTGCGCGACAGTGCTGTGGTGCGTTCGCTTGAGGCGACTGCTGCCCCGTCGGGCGCACGCAGGCCCGACTTGCCCTCCTGGAGCGCGACCAGCTCGGCCACTTCCGCAACAGTCAAGTCCCGCTCGACTGTCAGCTTGGCGAGGTCGCGCTCCAGGCCCTGCAGCGACGTCTTGACCTCGGCCGAACGGCGCTGCAGGTTCTCCTGCTTGCGCTGCTCCGTAGAGTAGACGGAGAGCTTCGAAGCCTGATCCACGAGCTGCTTCTTCAGCACGAGCATCTCGGCCTCTGCATCGAGGCGCGCCTGCACCTCTGCCTCAAACTCCTCGCGCGCGCTCGAGAAGCCGCGAGCCGCATTCTGGCTGGCACGCTTCATGCGGTCGTACTTGTGCTGCAGGCTCTTCATGCGCTCCTTGGTCTGGTCCAGGTCCAGCAGGATGCTCTCGACGAACGACGTGTCCATGCTGACGTGGCCGTCCTGCGCCGAGCGGATCGACTCGCGCACCTTGGCCTGGATCGTCTGCAGGCTCGCCGTCGAGGGCTGCTTGCGCAGGCGAGACTCGTCCGTCGCGCTGTCGGGATGCAGACTCGGCACGGGAGATGAGAGCCCTGCAAGACCCTCGTCCTGCGCTTGCCCATCTGCAGTCTTGAGGCTCTGCGCGGCAGCGGCGGCGTCTGCAGCGCGCGCGGAGGCAATTGACGGCGGCGACAGCGGCAAGAGCTTGTCCTGCGTCTCGTCGGACGCGGCATGCGCTGGGCCATCGCCGTGCAGGTCTTCGCTCGGACGCCCGCTGGGGCTGAGACGCAAGTCCTCCGACGAGTCAAACTGGCCGAAGGTGTCCATCAGGTTGACAAAGTCGGGGTCGTAGAAGCTGAAGGCGCGCGAGAGGCGGTCAGTCTGACGCGGCGGCGACGCGGCTAGCATCGGCGCTGCCAGCCGAGGCGCCTCGTCCGCGGTCCGCTTGATTGATGGCGTCGAGAAGCCCTTGGAGGCGCTGGCGTCTCCTTGCCTCTGCATCGAGTAGCGGTTCGACTTCTTCGCCTCGTCGCGCAGCTCCGATGCTGCCTCGTCGTACGTGCGCGTTGTGGGCGGCGCACTCGAAGGCGGCAGCGCGCCGCGCTCTTCGATGCCCAGACCCACGCGCATCGAGCTCGGCGGCGGAAAGCTGGGCTTTGTGGGTGTGCGCAGCGGCTGCATGAGCGGGTTCTCGGACGTGGGACTTGAGCGCGCTCCATCGGACGAGGGCATGGGACTGCGAGTGTGCACGCTCGGCCCGCTCGACGCACTGCGCGTCCGACTATGGCCCGAGGCGTGCGAGACGACGCTCGACGTGCTGCCGCTCACCATCTCGCGCGCCGTCGAGGGCCCAGAATCGCCACTGCCGGCGTTCTTCAGCGGACTTTCAGCAGTGACTGGCCGGCGCCCGCCTGCGGGCACCACACCTGCGTAGCCAGCGCGCAGCTCCCGCAGCGTCGGCGGCGGCGGTGCCGCAACTGGCCGCTTCGCGCCGGCGCCGCCAGACTTGCCGAGCGAGCCCAGCCACGGGCTGCCAGCAGCCGAGGCGTTGTCGCCGGCGAGCTCCTCCATCGAGGCGCGCGAGCCGTCGCCGTTCGGCGCGCTCAGCCCGCCAGAGTCGCCGGAGCGGAGCTCCTCCTGCGAGCGCCGCGATGTGCCGCTGCCGTCGCCGAGATTCGGCGAGGGCGCCGTCAGGCTCTGCGCCGAGGGCGAGCGAGCAGACCCGAGCTGCGCGCTTGGCGGCTGGTTCTCCTTGACGCCGTTGCGCGAGGATGACTGTGGGCGAGGCGCGTCAGACGTGCAGTGGCCTCAGCATGTCCGGCGCACTCACCTTGGCGCCTTTCCGCTTGTTGCTGGCATTCCTCCGGCTGCGCGCAACGCGCTCGTTGTGGCAGGACATGCAGTAGATGCCCTGGCTCGTCTTGGCGAAGACGAGCTCCTCGATGGGCGTGTGGCACGAGCGGCACGTGAAGCACGAGGCGTGGTACGACTCATCGCCAGTCATGATGGCCTGCAGCGGGGCGGGGCTCAGCGGCAGCAGGCGGCGGCGGCAGAGCACGTCAAGACTCACCTCCTCCATGATCGGCAGGCCGCAGATCTGGCAGGAGTAGTTGCACTGCCCGCAGATGGGATGCCCGTCGGAGAGGAGCAGGATGTCGTCCCGGTCCGTCAGGACGGGGTTCTGGCACTTGGCACAGCGGAAGCAATCGACGTGCCAGAGTTGTGTGCTGCGCTGCACGTCAGCACACCGATGCGAGGCGCTGCAGAGCAGCGCGGCCTGCCGGCTGCACTCACGCAAAGTGGATCACGCCCTGGTCCGCCGAGTCTTCGTCAATGAGCAGCTTGCAGCCGCCGCAGACGGGCTCGGGGAACTCGGTCTCGTCCAGCACATCCTCCGGCACGCCGTCTGGCGGCGCCGTGTCGCCCGACGAGGCCGGCGGCTCGGGCGGCGAGGCCTCGTCGCTGCGCAGCGAGGGCCCGCGCGACGAGCCCGACGCCGCCGGCGAGCGCGCAAAGAGGGCAGACGACGTAGCGGGCGTGGCGCCGCCAGCCGAATCCGCCCGGTACATTGCGGCGCTGCCCGAGCCGCTGCTGCTGCCGAGCGCACTTGCGACGGCCGCCATGCTCGGCACCGAGAGCGCGGCGCGGGTCACAGACGTCGGCTATGCAGGCGGCGCCTGGTGCGGCACCGGTCAGGCTGGAGCGCAGTGGCCGAGGCGGGGCGGCGGAGAGCGCAGTGTCAGGCGAGGCGCGGCGCAGAAGGTGGTGGGTGCGTCCGTCTCGTGAGAGGAGGGCGCGGCACTGGCTCTCGGCAGACGATGCTGCTCGAAGGTGTGCTCGGCGGCGAGCTGTGCTGCGGTCGCCGCAGCCGGGGAGTGGAGAGCGCAGCTGCTGTGCTGGCCGAGCAGCGGCCGAGCTCGGCGAGGTGACGGAGGCCGTGCGCGCGGCGGCGACGCGACGACGGCGCGTGCGACGAGAGTGGGCGCGATGTGAGACGCGCCGAGAAGCAGGAGCCGCAGCGACGACGAGAGCAAGGTGGTGAGGATGGTGAGGAGCGGGTTCAGACAGCGAGATGCGCTATGTGGCTCGAGCAGCTGCGGCTGGAGAAGGCCTCTGCCGCCAGCTGCTTCTGCCCATCTGCGAGGGGGCGCAGCGCCGTGCTGTGCCGCGCGCAGCGCGTGCCGCTGCCACGCCGCCCTCTCCAGACGTGCACACTCGACTGCCCTCTGGTGCCTGAGGGCGCGCTCCTGGGGCGCGCGCCGCCGCATGCCCCGCCGGCCGGCCAAGGCGGAACACGCACACAGGCCATGTGCCTGCCCGGCGCGACGCTCCCGCGCTGTGCATCTCGGGCACGCCGCACCGCACCGGCGCCGCGTCCGGCGCCTCTGTTCCTCCTGCGCTGGACCCCGGCTGCGGCTGCAGCTCCAGCTCCATCCGCTCCGCTGCTCCGAGGCGTGCAGCGACGGGCATGTGGCTCGGCCTCGGGCGTGGATGTGCGTGAGAGGGTGAGCTGCAGCAGAGAGAGCGAGCGCAAGGAAGCACGCATGCAGCGGCAGCGCCCAGAAGCCCTCTGTGAGAGAGAGGAGAGATGAGCAGGTGCAGAGCAGCTCGAGGCACGCAAGGCCGAGATGCGCCCGCCGCGCCGCAGATCTCGCAGCAAGCGCCGCGCCGCGGGAAAGGGCGCTAGGCGGAGGGGTGCAGAGAGCGGCAGCGTGCGGGCTGCTGGCTTCACGGGTGCACAAGGGCCCAGATGAGGCCCCTGCGAGCTACCGCCCTGCAGGCTGCTCTGCTTTATTGCTGGCGAAGCTGTGATGCTCGAGGGCTATACGACGGTAGACCCCGCAGCTGCAGCACTCGACGATTGTGCTTCAGCAGGCCTCCTGCGCAGGCTCTGGAGCCGCTCGGGCAGGGCCGTGATGCAACACACGCGGCAAGCAGCACCTTGTTCATCCGGCATCGTCCACGGGCGTGCGCTCGTGAAGCAGCACAGTACCTGCTAGAGGACCCAGCCGTCCTCGGAGAATGGCTGGGAGTGCGAGATTCTCTGCTGGAATCTCGCGCTGTGCGCTTTCCAACGCAGGATGCCGGCGGCCAACAAGCAGGCGTTTTCTTGCCTTGGCGGAGCGCCTCGCCAAAACGGCTGCTCAAGGAAAGGCCCGAGCGTGATGCGCTCCCGGCTTCGATGTGACTGCTCTGGATTCGCAGGCACGCAAGTGGTGAGGTGCAAGTGACGCAGCATTCCCGAGGATCGCATCTCCTGAGGAGCGGCGCGCGCTCCGTCGCGGAGTTGAGCGTCAAGCCCAGGACAGGCTCCTCGGACAAGGCGCTGTTCCGATAGGCGAGCTCACATGCGCAGTCGCACATGTCGACGTAGAGGATCTACTGCCGGATAGTGAGCCCTAAGGCTTCAGCTCAGCAGCTCAGCTCGCCTCTGCGCAAGCGGGAGGAGCTCGAACTGCAGCGCCGCGGGAGGACCAAGGCGCGCGCGGGTGCTGGCTGTTGGCGCACTTGACCCGCTGGTCCATACGGCGATGCGGGGTGTGTGCGGCTCTTTTGCGAAACAGTGCTGCCTGCAGACAGCTGCCAAGGGTGTGCGCTGGTCGTCACGCGGAGGCTGCGGCCGCAGCAGGCATGCTGAGCATCTCGGAACGTCCACGCCGGCGTCTTCGTCTTGTGCGCTCGGCTTCGCGTCGCCGCCCGCGCGCCGCGCGCGCTCAGCCGGCGCGGCAGCGCAGGCTCCTTCCCTCATCCGACGTCGAGCGCTCTTTCGACTCGGCCGTGCAAGGCAGAGCGCAGACGTCCATCTCGAGCTGCCCGCCTGCCGATGCCGTGCAGCTAGAGGTGCGAGCCCTGCAAGTCCCGCCAGGCACGCCCCTGAGCGGCCGCGGTGCCTGAGTGCAGGCTGTGCGACAAATGAGGCCCTCCGCCCTCCACCCGCGGTGGCAGCAGCTGCCAGCAAGTCAAGGGCGCAAGACTGCGGGGCCGCAGCTCAGAGTAGAGTGCGTCGGCTGGACGCTCAGGGGGTGCCTTTCGCGTTTCTTCCTGCTTGTGCTCACGTGCAAGAGGCACGGGCGCCGCTGCTCGCTCCGGCGAAGGCGCTCGTCAGCGAAGGATGAGGCCGATGCAGCAGCTTTGCGCCGGGCGGCTCGGCGCGAGATGCACACCTGATGCTGCAGAAGCAGACGCCGGTGCCGAGAAGCGCAGCGCTGCCGGCGTCGCGCACGCGGGTGCTGGCACCGCCCGTGTGCTGCTGCCCTGCTGCTTCGGCCCGCGAGCGCCGCGCCTCGGCAAGCAGCACGCCGCGCCGCGCGGCCGCGCCTCGCCTGCTCCTCCTCTCGCAGCTGCTGCTGGCCCGTCTCCGTCGCACCCTCACCCACACCTCGCCGCCGGCCCTCTCCCGCATACCCAGCCCCCGCACGCAGACGCAGCTGTGCTGCATCTGCAGAGTGGGCTCGCCGACCGTCTGCCACCCCGACATCCTGCCCGCGCCCCTCTCCGCCTTCGCAGCGCCCCGTTTGCTCGGCGTGCGCCTTTTTTCACTCCCCTTCTTCTCCCTCCACACGCCGGCCGCGCCGCGCGCGTACGTGCCCGCCAGCGCCAGCGCTCCAGGCCGCCGCCTCTGCGCAGGAGCATCCCGCACGGCGACACCACAGGCCGCAGCTGTGTCTCAGCTGTGCCTCCGCCGAGCGCACTCCCGTTTCTCTGACAGGCGCCCCTGCACCGGCGCCGGCGCCCCGCCGTCTCGCGGCTGCGCTCTAGTCGCGCCCGTCTCGCGCGACTTGCGCCAGCTCTCTGCGCCATGGACGTCTACTCGACGACCTTCACGCTGCCGCGTGCAGCGGCGTCCGTCGCCACCGAGGCACATGTGACGCCGTATGCGCCGCACGATGCCTCGTCGGCGGGCACGTCGCGCATCTCGCTCGCCGGCCTCGGCGGCTCGGGTCCCGGCGCCATGTCCGACACATCGCTGCCCGGCCAGCTGCCGCCGCCGCGCGCGCAGCCGCCGGCGCCCAGCTCGGGCCGCATGGGCTCGATGCGCTCGCGCTTCCCGCCCAGCGTCAAGGCCTTCATGCCGTCGGCCTTCGGCGGCAGCAAGCGCGCCAGCGAGCGCATTGCCGAGGCCAGCCACGGCGCCGAGCGCTCCGAGGGCGAGGCCGACGATGGCGACCTTGCGTCTGCCGACGCCGACGGCGCCTCTGCCACGCCCGACGACTCGTCTGCGGTGCCCGGCCTCTCTGGCGAGGCACTTGCGGCCATGCGTGGCGGCGGCCTGACGGAGAGCATCACCGAGGAAGGTCCGCGGCCAGACGGCAACGGCAGCCCCAGCCAGAACCGTGACTCGCGCTCGACGGCAGGCACACGCTCGTCGGTCGACTTCGGCTCCGGCGCATCGGGCTCGGCCGGCAGCACGGCGCCGAGCACGGCACCGACCGGCACCAAGGTCGGCGCCGGCGGCACCAGCACGCGCGCCACGTCCGACTCGACGCCCAGCGCCACGCACAGCGCCAACGCCAGCATGTCCACCAGCGCCGGCGTCGGCCCGCAGCAGACCGGCGCTGAGCTCACCGAGGCCATGAGCCGCCTGGCGTCCGAAGCCATGGGCTCGCACCAGTGTCTCGTCGCCTGCGCGCCCGTCAGCCAAGAGGAGAGCGCCTCTGCGTACCGCAATGGCGGCAGCAGCGAAGCGGCCTTCGTGCCGTTCCCCGGGCAGAACGGCCACGGTGCTGCGTCGCCATTTCCCAACAGCTACCCCTACCAGCAGTACGCGCAGGGCTTTGGACACGACGCCATGGCCAGCGCCTTTCCCTCGCGCATGGGTATGCCGATGGGGCCCGGCAGCGCCGCGTCGAGCATGCTTGGCATTGGCTCGCCATACGGCCTCTCGCTGGGCAGCACCACCTCGCTGCACTCGACGCACAGCCTCGGCGCCGTCGGCGCGCCACCAGCGCCGGCGCCGCCGGCCAAGCCCAAGGCGCCGCAGTTCAACTTCCACCTCAGCGGCGGCTACACACAGGTCATGTCGGCCCGCGGCGCCATCCTGCGCGATGCGCCGTTCCGCGCCAAGAGCGTCGTCAAGGTGCCGCGAGCCGACATCATCGATGCCGCGCCGCGCCCTGCCAACGCCAGCTCGGCGCAGCCCTTCGCGGCGGCAGACACGATGAAGCCGCACGTGCAGGCGCGCCTCGACGACATCGCCGGCGACACGCGCGTGCACATCTCGTGCGCCGGCGCCGAGGCGCACGGCAAGGACCTCGGCTACGGTCTCGAGACGGAGCGCAACGTCGAGCTGGTCATCTCTGGCTCGCACGAGGGCGTGGAGCAGGCGCGTGTCCGTGTCCTGGTCATGCTTGACGAGCTGGTGAGTGCACGCGGAGATGCAGTGGCGGCCAGAGCCGTGTTGACAACCCTGCACAGAGCGGCCTTCACGTCGAGACGTGCGAGATTGACTACAAGCTGCACAACATCATCGGCGGGCGCAAGCGCTACGTGATCCAGACGATCCAGGAGGAGACGGGCACGAGCATCTACATGCCCACGCCCTTCTCCGGCATCCTCTCGTCGAACCGCGCCGACGCCGGGCTGCTGGCGCGGCACAACACCATCTACATCTGCGGCGAGTTCTTCGGCGTGCAGCGGGCGCGCGACATGCTCTTCCAGGTGTCGGTGCACAAGAGCAAGTGCATCATCTCGCGCGACACGGCCATCCTGCCGCGCAAGATCGACTGGATGCTCACGGAGCGCCTCGAGGAGCTGCGCTCCATCATGCTCGACAATGGCTCCTTCATCAATCTGCCGCTGCTCGGCAGCCAGATCAGCGTCGTCTCGGTGTACGGCGACAACCGCGTGAGCATCGAGCGCACGATCCGCTCCGTCATGCAGCTGGCGTGCCAGTTCTACGTCGCCTCGCTGTGGCTGCTGCCGGTGGCGTACGACGCCTTTATGCCGTCGGCCACGTTCAACAGCGGCCAGCTGGCGCCGGCGCTCAAGAAGATCAGCACGACGTCGGGCGCCGAGGTCGTGTTCAAGAGCAACTGCTTCGAGCTGCACGGCCTCGAGAACGAGGTGCGCAGCGCCGTGTCGCTGATCCTCGACCTCGACGTCGTGCGCGCGTACAACTTCGAGGTGCGCTTCCAGATCGAGCTGGCCAACGAGCACCGCGAGTTCATCAGCGGCAAGAAGAATGGCAAGATCAACAAGATCATGAAGCAGTGCGGCGTGCGCATCAAGTTCGAGACGTTCAACGACTACAACTTCCTCATCGACGTGTCCGGCAACGACCGCGTCGGCGCGCTGCAGGGCCTCGCGTTCCTGCAGGAGGAGCTGCCGGCCGAGGTCTCGTTCCACGTGCCCGAGGCGTACCACAAGCGCATCATCGGCGTCGGCGGCAAGAGCATCCAGCGCATCATGAAGAAGTACGGCGTGTACGTCAAGTTCTCCAACGCCGAGGAGTTTGCCGCGCTCGGCGGCTACGTCGACAACGAGGACAACGTCGTGGCGCGCACGCCGGCCAAGAACGCCATCAACCTCGACAACCTCAAGCAGGCCGTCATGGAGCTGGTGAATCCCAAGGACAAGGACTACGCCACCGAGACCGTGTCCATCGCGCGCCGCTACCACCGCACGCTGCTCGGCGAGAAGGGCATCTTCATCCACGACATCGAGAACAAGACGAGCTCCGCCGTGCGCTTCCCGCCCAAGGAGACGGCCTCGGACCTCGTCTCGATCTTCGGGCCCGAGTCGCAGATCCACATTGCCGCGCAGATGCTCCTCGACCACGTGCCCTTCGAGGCCGAGTTCCGCACGCCCAACTCCGTCGAGCTGGCGCAGCTCGTCGCGTCGCACGACTTCGTCGCGCTGACTGAGCGCGTCAACCGCGACCTGAACGTCGTGATTGTGCCCGTCGTCGGCGCCGCGACCACGCCGAGCGGCGAGGCGCCTGCCGCACCGACGTCGGGCGAGGCCGTGTTCAAGCTGCGCCTGAACCGCAGCAACGCCGACTTCCTGCCGGCATCGAAGGACGCGCTCGAGGACTTCCTCGTCTCGCGCAACATCAACGTGTACGACTCGCCGGCGCGTGCGCGCTCCGACAGCTTTGCCTCGTCGTTCCCGCACTTTGCCACCAAGCTCATCAGCACGGCCGCCGAGTCGACCGACTCGTTCCAGCCCAGCGAGGCGCTGCGCTACCAGCACGAGCGTTCGCGTCTGCGCGCCGCCGCCAGCACGCCGGACATCAAGGCGCTCTTCGACTCGCCGCAGTACGGCACCGTCGGGCATGGCGCTGGCGGCAGCATGGGCCATGCGCACCCGTACGCGCCCATGCCGCCCATGCAGGCCTCGACGAACCCGACGAACTCGCCGCTCGTCTCTTCGTCGCTCTACCCGTCGCCATACGGCGAGACCAGCAACAGCAGCTCGCTGAGCAGCGACGTGTGGGCTGCACCGCCACTCTCGACGCCGGGAAGCGCAGGCGGCATCGTCTTCCCGCATCACAACGCACGCCTGAGCGACGACGTCGGCCTCATCCACCGCAGCGGCGACGGGCTCGCCGAGGAGGAGCGTGTGCGTGCGCTGCGCAAGCCGCGCTCGTTTGCGCACCGAGCGCAGGCCAACCACCGCGCGCAGTCGCTCGACATCAGTGCGCTGGCGGCGCAGCAGGCTGCGCAGGCCATGGCTGCCGGCGCCGTGCCTCGGCCGTATGGCGCCATCGGCTCGACGCCCAGCGTGCCGGCTTACTTCAACTACCAGCAGCAGCAGCAGGCGCCGCTCGGCAGCACCAACCAGTTTGTGCCGTCGCACGGCCCTGCCTCGAGCATCTCCCGCCTGCCGCCGGCCACTGGCGCGGGCCCTAATCACCCGGATCCCTCGACGATGGACGAGGTCTCGCGCGTGCTTGCACAGCTGGCCTTCGACCGTGCCTAGATGGGACTGGACACATCTGCTCGCGCCGCGCCCTAATTGCCCGCCACGCCCACGCAATGATCCTCTTCTATTGCTCCTTCCCCACTCAACTCAAGCAATCGCCTCGCATCCAAGCACCCACGCACAATCAGCACTGCGTGCGCCTCACATATCCCCGAGCAAGGCCACGGTTCCGCACCGCATCCGCGGTGTGTTCCTCGGCCGAGATCCATCATTCGCTCCCGCCTGCGATGCCCTAGTACAAGCGCTTCCGTCGTCTCGTCTATTTGCGTTCCGCACTTGCCGCCTGGTCCGCTGCGCGCGCCCTCTCTTCTCCCTTCGACCTATTGCCTGTCCTGCTCTGCCTGCGGCCATCTTCCTCCTCTACCTCCCGCCAAAACGTCGCTTGCTCGCTCGCCTACCTTCTTCATCGATTCCTCGTTGCGTCTCACCCAGACACCAACACCACCCCAAGCCAGTCATTTACCCGACCCTGCCCCCTTCAAGAAGTGCGCACGAATGCCCTCAAGACGATCTTCCCGCTCCGCCCTCCTTCCCCTTCCGCCACCCTCCGCACGTCTCTCACCTCGACGCCTTCGCACCTCACCCCCCAGCTGCGCTCAACTGGCTACCGGCAGAGCTCGCAGCGACCTGTACATGCCCTCTCCTCTCTGACCCTGCTCCGTGACTCTATGAATGCCACGGCAGTCCAATGCAAGCCTTCCGATGCAGATGCATTGCCGGTGCGGCAGTCCAGTCCCTTGTCAGGCACCAGACGCTCGCAGCTCGAGCTTCCAGGCGTCAGCAAGGCGCTCGTTGTGCTCGTTGAGCCCGCCGTGCAGCACGACGGACGTGTTGCCCTGCGCTCCCGAGGCGACACCCGAAGCAAACCAGCCGCGTGCCTGCGGCAGCGTGCCGTCCGTCTGCACGGCTTGGAAGGCGTATGTGCCCGACGCCGAGCGCAGCAGCACAAAGACATCGTCGAGGAACTGTGCAAGATCAGAGAATGAGCAGCTGGGATTTTGAGGTCAGACGGTCATGCAGCAGCTCACCTTGCCGGCGCCATCGTGTCCGAGCTCAGCAGGCGCGCCTTCGCCCTCGCCAAAGAAGAGCAGCGCAATGGCATCTTGCTCCGCCGAGCGCGAGAAGCCCGGAGGCAGCGGCACAAAGCCGTGCACGCTGCGCTTGCGCGGCTCGCCGTCGGCATCGTTGAGTGGTGCAGCGTGCGACGTCCAGGCGTTGGCCTGCACGTCGTAGACGTCGAGCGGGCCGCCGAGCTCGTAGCTGGACAGCAGACGAGTGAGCGTTGGGAGCAAGGAGAGGCTCTGCCACGACTTACCCGGCAAAGCCGCCCCAGCGCAGCAAGACGTCCGAGCCGCCCGCCGGCGAGCGCACAGCCGCGATGGCAGTGCCTCCACGGCCCGGCGCCGGTGCATCGGCACATTGCTTCCAGCGCAGCGAGTTGAGGTCGAGCGCATGCAGTGTCTCAAGACGGCCCTTTGTCGGACACCCAGCGTGGATGTACATCGTGTCGCCAGCGACGGTGGCTGCGTGATAGCTGCGTCCACTGGGTGCGCCTTCGCCTGTAGCTAGCAGCTGCCACTGCTCGCTGCGCGTGTCGAACTGCCACACATCCTCCTCGCCTGCTTCGCGCGCCGCTGCCGATGCACCGGCACGCATGGCGAGCGGAGCCATGTCCTTGCCGCCGCGGCCGCCCCAGAGGTAGAGCGAGCGAGATGGCAGATGGGAGACGAGCGTCGCGCCGACGCGTGGCGCCGGCCATGGCGCCGACGAGCGAGAGAGCACGCGAGGCGCCGCTGCGCAGCTGCAAGTGTCAGCAGCGCTGGACGGAGCAGCCCTGGCCCGTCTGACGACGCACCGCCGGCGAGATCGAGCACAAGCAGCTCGTCGCCGATGGGCGTGCGCGGCTTGAGCTCTCCTCCGCTGTCTCAGGGGCGTGTCAGTGTCCGCATCGGCCCCGCGTATCCTGATCGTGCCCACAAGATGTACGCCTTGTCGCCGAGCACGGCGAGCGCATGACTCGAGCGTGCAGCGAGCGGCGCCAGGCCCTGCACGCCGGCAAGGGCGAGCGGCAGCCACTGTGCAGTCAGACTCATGGCGTGTGAGGGCCCTGAGGAGATGGATGCGGGAGTGAGCGAGCCGTGATAGCCGCCAGGAGCCCGATCTTTGGCATCCGGGACGAGACGCGCCGCCAAGCCGTCTCGCCCCGTCACCGGTGAGGTCGCTTCGCACGCGTCTCGGCGCCTGCCTGAGCTTCTGTGGTCCAGCCGCTGACATGAGCGATACCGTCTCGCGAGAGGCTCAACAGCACAAGCGAGCTCTGCACCACGCCTGCTCGGAGAACACGAGTCTTTTTCTTGCATGAGGAGGGTCTGCTTTACACATGTGCGAGAGAGACACGGGAAAGGTGGGACAGGAAGAGTGGACGACGCTTTCGGAGGCGCCACGAAGAATAAAAAGAGGTCGGGAGAGCGAGGAATGTGTCGGGCTGGCGGCCAAGAATGAAGCGCGCTGTCGTGACGTGTCGGGAAGCTAGTACAGATTGTGGGTGATGATTGAGCGGGGCCTTTTCTACAGCGCAGCCAGCTGGGGTGCTGGCAGACGCAGGGACGAGCGAGGAGGAAGCACAGAGCTTCCATCTCGCTCGCTGTGCTTGTGGGTTGTTGGAGGCTCAGTACGGGTAGGCGCTGTTGTGCGCGTGCCCGACGAAGCCGTGGGCGCCGGAGATGCCGGTCATGTGCGGCTGCATGCCGGCGTAGGGGGCGCCGTACGCCGGACCGTCGACGCCAAATGCCGCCTGAGAGGGCGGTCCAGCAGGCGGAGGAGCGGCGCCGTGGTAGGGACGTCCAGCGCCTCGGGGGCCGAAGTTGCCGCCGGGCGGCAGGTGGCCCAGACGTGCGTGCTGAGCGGCCGCCAGGCTCGGCGAGGGCCCGTACGGTGCACCGGGAGGCGGCGGGGCGTGGCCCTGGTGCTGCCGCGCCATGTGCGGCGGCGGCAGCGGCGCTCCGAGGTGGCCGGCGTGCGCCGGGTGCATCATGTGGGCGCCGGGCTGCTGGTGCAGCGCACCGTGCGCGGCCGCGTTGTAGGGCATGTTGTTCATGCCGAGGAACTCGGGCGGCGGCGGCGCAGGGCCGCCGGGACGGCCAGCCATAGCAGCCATGGCCTGCAGCTGCTGCTGGTGCGCAGCGTGCATGAGCGAGTAGGGCATGCCTCCCGCGTGGCCAGCGTGCGCCGGCGGGCCGCCCATGTCGAGATTGTCGCGCTGCAGCTTGCTCTGGATGCGCTTGCCATAGGGCGTATTGCGGATCATGGGCAGAATGGGCCGTATGCACTCGACGAGCTGCATGCGCTGCAGCGGGTCGGCGTAGTCGAGGCTCGTCTGCACGACGTAGTTGGCAAATGAGTCGCGCAGCAGCTTCTCGAGGCGCGTGCGGTTCAGCAGCTCCTCGATGAGCTGCTTGCGCACCGACGGCTCCGAGACGCGGATGCACTTCTCCATGACGTTGCTGCTGAACTTCTGCACCGAGAGCAGGCACACGTTGCCGATGAACTGCCGGATCACCGCGTCGCTGTAGCGTGCGTCGTTGAGGTCGAGAATGTACTGCACGACGTAGTTGCCAAACGGATCCTGCACGAGCGTGAGGGCGTTGAAGGTGATCTCGGTGACGAGCTGCGTGCGCTGCGTCTCGGACGCGTGGTCGATGCAGCGCTGCAGCACGCAGCAGCCGTGGCGGTGCGTGGCGACCTCAACGCAGTGCGCCGCGACGGCATTGTAGATGAACTGGTTGTCCTCGGCGCCAAGGCGGTTGAGACACTTTTGGATGACGTGGTTGCCGTTGAGGTCCTTGATCAGCGTCACGACGCTCATGCTCAGCGCCACGATGATCGAGTGGATCTGGCGCGTCGTCGAGAGAAAGTCGATCGTCTTTTGCACGGCGCGCGTGCCGTGCATGTTGAGGCTGATGCTCACCAGCTCGGGCGCGACGGCCTCGACGATGACGTTGCGCTGCTCGTCGGTGCAGAACTCGAGCATCTTCTGGCAGAGATAGTTGCCAAACGGATCCGTCATGAGCTCGGTGAAGTGCGCAAACGTCTCGCGGAAGATCATGTCGCGGTACGCCGGCACGCCCTCCTCGAGCTTCTTCTGCAGGTAGCGGCAGCCGTGCTGGTCCTTGCACAGCGCAAAAATCTCGCCGTGCAGCTCCTCGAGCGGCGTGTTGACGTCCAGGTCGCCCTTGCGGCCCTTCATCATCTCCATGCCGTCGCTCGGCGGCAGGCCCATGCCGAATTTGTTGGCAGCAGCAGCGCCCTGCTGCGCGCCAAGCGGACCCTTGCCGTACAGGCCAGCGCCGCCGCCTGCGCCTGCACTAGTGCCGAATGCCTCGAAGTAGCCTGACGCCGGACGAGAGGCGTCATTGCTCGCTGACCGACCGTCGAAGGTGCCCGAGTTGCCGGCGTAGCCGAAGCGGCTAGGCGTGCCGGCTCCCGAGGGCGCCGCAGCGAAGCCGTCGATGGCGAACTGCGGATAGAGAATGTGAGCAGGAAGCAGACGGGCCATGAGGCACGAGACTCACGCTCGGGAAAGCACCGCTTGTAGGCCGGCTGGTCTCTGCGCCCTGCCCGTTGCCGAACGACGACGACAGCTCCGGCGCGCCGCGAGACTGCTGCGGCGACGTCGAGGCCGAGCTGCGCCCAGTGGCGCCAAGCTGGGTGTCGGCAGCATCTTCGTCGGCGACAAAGTGTTGCGAGAGGCGGTGCGGGCCGCTGGCGAAGCGCGAGCCCGCAGAGGCGCGCCCTCCAGCATTGCCTGGCTGACCACCGCTGACGGCACGGGGCTGCGACGATGGCAGACCGAGTCCGGGCGAGGCACGACCCGACGACGGTGAAGATGCGCCACCGCCGAGCGGCAGCAACGACGCCGCACGCTGCGAGCCCGTGAGGAGCGGCGAAGAGCGCTCCGAGCGACCGCGACGGTCGCCTGCTGCAGCGTCGCCAACGCTGTGAGGCGAGGCGTGTGGCGGTGACTGCGATTGCGACTGCGACTGCTGTGTCTGACTCTGAGGCGAGCGCTGTCGACCTGTGTCCTTCTTGTCGCCGTCGTGCTCGCTGAACTGAGGCCACTCGGACATGCGAGCGCCGGCGCCGATGTTGCGGCCGAAGCGCGGCGGCGTCTGCGAGAGCGGCGCCAAGTCGAGCGCGGCGGAAGAGGCGGAGAGCTGACGGTGGTGCTTAGCCGCACGCCTTGCATTGACATCTTCTCGCCACTGGAGCACGACTCACCATGCCCGGGTTGCTGTCGTGGCGGATCAGCACGGGGAACTTGTCGTCGTCGTCCTGCAGGTTGTAGCGGCGCACAAAGGCGGCGTCCTCAGCGTCGAGCTCGTCGTCGAAGAGGAAGCGTTCGTTGAAGACGGGCGTGAAGCCAGACGGGGTCGAGGCGACCGAGGCGCCCGTGCCTTCAGCAGAGCCTTCTGCGGCACGAGCCAGCGCCGCACGCTGCAGGCTCTGCTGCGACAGCTGCTGCGGCACCTGGCCGGGTGCTGCGCCGGTGCGACCACCCACTGAGAGACGCTCGAACGCTCCAGCCACATCGCCGAGCACGGCGTTCTGACGTCTCGCAGCCGAGCCCAGCTCGTCCGGTCCGGCGCTGATGCGGCGCGACGCCGGCACGGAGCGTGTACTGCTGCCGCCCGGCGGCGGCAGGCCGGGCACGTTGCTGCCGTTGAGACCTTCCTCGGGCCGTGCCGAGCGATCGTCGTCGGCGCCGATGAGAGAGCGACGTGCAGCGCTACGGCCGGCCTGTGCAGCGCCAATGGGCGGCGTCGTTGGCGCCGAGGCAGCCACGTCGCCCAGGGCTGCACTGTTGAAGCGCCGCTCCGGCTCTGCTGCTGTGCCATCGGTACCAGGCCGCCGGAGCAAGCTGGCCTCCTCCTCGCGCTGCTGCTGCTCGAGGCGCTGCATCTGCTGCTCGAACGCCTGGCGTTGCACGGCGCGCTGCTGCTCGTGCTCGAGGCGCTTGCGCTCGATTCGCTGGTGGGACGCGAGAGGCAAATATCAGTGCCATGGCTCTGCGCTCACACCCACTGCGAGCCCCAAGCAAGCGCACTGACCGCCTGGATGTCTTCCTGCGCCTCGCGACTCTCAGTGCCCGCCGTCGAGGCCGTGTCGCCGCTGCTGGCGCCAAAGACGGGCGACTGCGACTGCTGCGTCGAGGCGCTCGCCGAGCCAGACCCAGGCGGCGGCGCCAGCGACGGCGTGGCGGCGCCCGCGGCGTGCGAGTCGTCGGAGGGAGGCGACGGCACCATGGTGGAGGTCGAGGCAGGGAGACGGGGTCACTCGAGCCGATCTGCGAGAGCAGAGAGGCGGCTGCGAGTGGAGCAGTGGAAAGCGCTGAGAGGGCAGCGACGGTCTAGATGGCAGCAGCAGCGTCGCAGCTGGGCATAATAGCACACTGGATCCTGTCGCAGCAGCCTTGCGTGTCAGAGCGTGCACATAGCTGCGACAGTGCGGGCGCGGACTCACGAAGGAGGAGACAGAGCTCGGGCTCGGGCGAGGTGCAAGAGGGCTCGTGCGGGCGGGGTGGTCGGGTGATGGAGTCGTGCTGGCGGGAGGTTGAGGGAGATGTACAGTGGCGGAGACGGCGTTACTGAAGGATCAAGGTGCTACAGAGAGACTGGGCGAGAGAGAGAGCGAGAGAGCGCGACGGCTGGCGCGGGCTCGTGCGGGAGCGGCGAGACGCTCGGCTGAGGCTCTGGGACGTCACGGGCGTGCGCGGCGATCGCAGCTGCCTCTGTTGTACAGTCGCAGGGGACAAGCGTCGGGCGTCGAAGGCCGTGCCGCTCGGGTATGGGGAGGCGCGAGGGGCTGGGAGAGGCGTGGGTGCGAGGTGGGAGCAGGAGCAAGAAGCCAGCTGGCGAGCCGAGCATGCCAGAGCCAAGCCGGCCGGCGCACGGCAGCAGGCCGGCCAGCAGCCAGAGCAGCAGCAGCAGCAGCACCGCACGTTGCGCGTGCCAGCGCTTCACACGCCGCCTCGCGGCGCCTCGGCCGACGATCCTCCGAGGCCGCCGCCGCGCCGCTTGCTCCTGGCTGGTCCGCATCATCGGGCACGCTGGCTAGAGGCTGGTCACGCTGCAGAGCTTGAAAGGCGCCTGCATCGCAAGATGCCTGGGACAGAAGCAAGGGGCAGGACAGAGGTGCATGCTCCTGCACTGAGGCCAAGAAGAAAGTCCCACGCGCCAGGACTGGGACCGAGCGGCGTCTCGCCGTCCTTTGAGCCCGCTCTCGCTGCACCACATACGCACGACAGGCTCATCCCTCCTCCTCTCCGACGCTCAACGCTCTCGCAACAGCGCCAGGCAGCGCCGCCGGGTGCTGAGGAGAGGCGCATGACGGCCGCGCACGTCGCCTCGCTGCGGTCGCCTCATGCCGCCGTCGCGCCCTTGTCTGCGTGGGAACACGCCCTCGTCCAACACGCACAAGGGCAAGACGCCGCGGAGCACGGCACGGCCCCTGACGCGCCTCCACACACATCACACGGCGCTGCTTTGGATCGTGCTGCTGAGCGAGAGAGGGGACATCGAGCGGCGAAGCGTGCGCGCCTCTGACGGCTGACCAGAGAGGCAGGAGGAGAGGCCTCGTCGAGCCTTGAGCGCGAGATGCTGCGCCCGTAACTGCGAGCCGCTGGTGCTGGATCGGGCGCGGCGATGCAGCCAGAAGCAGCAACCGGCTGGCCGCGCGGCCGCATCACGCGCCTGCGCGCCTGGCGCAAGCACACGGCAAGGCTGCGCCAGTTGCAGGCAGAGCCCGCGACCGCACGCATTTGCACGTTCAGGCGAGAGCAACGCTTTTCTTGCGGCCTCACAGCCGTGCTTGCAAGGTGGCTGCGCTCCACGTGCGTGCCAAGCAGGCCTAGGTGTTGGGCGGCGGCGCGCCGCACCGAGGCAATCTGTGCCACCGCCGCGCCCGGCAAGGCACACATCACCCGCTGCTCGGCGCCCCGCCCTGGGCCCAATCGGGCAGCTCTCCAGCATGTGCAGCTTGGCTCAGCACCACCACCACCTCTGCACCACCTCAGCATCTCCCAACCTCATCCAGCTGTGCTGAGCACCGCACGTCACAGGCCTCTACTCGTCCCGCCTGCCACGCGCACGGCCCATGGCGCCAGCTCGCCCACCGCCGGCTGCGGCCAAGACGGCGGCCGCAGCGGCGTCGGTGCAGCCCGACTGGAGCGACCTGCCGCCGACGCTGTTCGAGCGTGAGTAGGCTTGGGGGGCATGTGCTGCTGGTCGCCTCGGGCCTGCCGCCTGACACACACTGCAGACGTCGTTGCGCGCGTCATCGACCTCGAGCCGTCCACTGCGCTGCCGCTCCTCGCCGTCTCGTCTGCCTTCCACCGGGCTGCCTGCCGCGCACTGTATGAAGGTGCGTGCGCCGCAGATAAGCTCGCCGGTCAGCGCAGCGCTGACCCTGGCCATCCACTCGTGCAGACCTCGTCATCGCCGACGACGAGCATGAGCTGGCGCGACCGCGGCGTCGTAGCCCGCACGAGACGCTGGTGCGATGGCCCGAGAAGTGCGTGCGGCCGATTGCGCATGGAGCTGGCTGTGTGTATGCGCTGACATGGTCCCCGGCGCCAGATACGCCACCTACGTGCGCGGCCTCACGCTCGTTGGCCGCCCGCCGCAGGTCGACGACGACGATGAGCCGTCGTACTTCAGCTTTCTGCCGCGGCGTCGAGGCCGTCCTCTGAGCCTGGAGCAGCTGACGACGCTGGTAGCGAGTCTCGAGAGCCTCGAGTCATTTGTCTGGTGCGTCGCGTGTCAGCTCCAAGCCTGCCTTGCACTAACACGATTGCAGGTGCACCTCGCGCGTGCCGCCTGCCGCGCTCTGCTCTACGCTCGCAGCCACCATCCCGGGCCTCTCGACGCTGATCATCCGCATCACGAGCGATGCAGTCGTCCAGAGAGGACGCAGTGGCAGTGCAGCATCCGCATCTCCCGTGTCGAGCCCGCGAGCTGGCTTCGACGACCTGAGCGCGCTGGACGCGCTCGGCATCGATGACTGCGAGGCTGAGGGCGACGAGCAGGCCGATGGGCTCGGCGATGGACTTAGCTCGACGACTTCACTGCGTTGGGATGGCATGGGACTACACAAGCTGCCGTGCCTGCGCGAGCTGAGTCTCGCGGCCCTGAGCGCCGAGGGCGCGCGAACCTTGACGCGCTCGTTGCCATTCCTGGCGCATCTCGAGCATCTCACGCTCGACTGTGCCTTCGTCGACGACGCCATGCTTGCCGCCGTCGCCGCGCACTGCCGTGGCCTGCTGTCCTTCACGATGCGCACGACGGGCACAAAGGTGCGCATGCATGCTATACCTGCGGCCCTCGCCCGCGCTGACGAGCTTATGGCACATGACAGGTGACGGACAAGGGCATCACTGAGCTCCTCGGAGGCTGCGCACTGCTCCAGAAGATGGAGCTGTCGGAGTGCGAAGGTGAGTGAGACTTCGGGTTCAAAGTGAGTGCCTCAAGGCTTAAGAGCCACACCTTCAGGGCGCTTCACGCGCAAGCTGTGGGGCAAGCTCTGCGAGCTCGACTCACTCAAGAGCGTGCGCGTCGCGATGAATGAGGTTGGGCCGCACCACTCGTGAGTCCGGCTTGAGGCGCAGTGCAGAAGGACAAGCTACTGAGCGTGCATCTCGCCACTACAGATGGGTCTCGGACCACCTCGACGGCATATTCGAGCTGCTCGTCAAGGCCAGCAGCGGCCTCGAGTCGCTGGCTCTGCGCCGCCTCGTCCCTGCCGCAGCCCTTGTGCCGGCGGAGGAAGATGGCGCAGCGGAGGCGCGGGGCGCAGGCTTCGTGCCGCGCGTGCACCCAACGATGGTGCCACGGCCGCTGCCCGAAAAGGCACTCGACATCCTGAAGGCCCATGGCGGGAAGCTGCTCGACCTCGAGGTCGGTCCCTTTGCTTGCTGTGGCGAACGCAGTTTTCTGACATTGAAGCCTGCGCAGCTCGACTTCTTCGTACTGAGCATCGATGACCTGAAGGCGGTGCTAAGCGCATGCCCGCGTCTGGAGAGCCTGCGCATCTATCTGGACGCACCGCTCGCCAAGGTGGTGAGTGGCAACGCGACACGTACAGTGACTTGACCGCTGACGCTGCGCGACTGCAGCTCGGGCTCTCTGCAGCCTTCATTCCCCTGACGCAGCTGCGCCTCATCGAGATCAGCCTGACGGAGCCGCACTGCCCCAAGAGTCTCGCTGCTGTGCGGCACGTGGCCTACGGCGGCATTGGATCGACAACAAGCGGCGTATTGCCTCCCGTCGGCTCTTCAGGTCCAACGGCGAGCTCGCCGCCTTCGCGCGTAGCCTGCTTTGACAACTCGCTGCCGGAGCTGAGCCCGAGCTCAACGGCAACGAGTCTCTTCAGCGTCGCCAGCTCGCACGAGGCCGTGACGCCGGTGAACTTTTCGACGAGCCCGCAGAGCCCGCGCAAGATGCAGCGGCGCATGAGCGGCGCCAGTGCAGATGACTCGTCGCTCACCAGTGCGGCTGCCTTCTCCATTCCGGGCGTCACCGGCAGCGTCGGCGCGTTTGACACCAGTGTGCCGCCGAAGCGCGAAGTGCGCAAGTGAGTGCAAAGAGCGGGCCGATCTTCGAGAGGCGCGCAGCTCATCATCGCTGCCCAGATTCGCACGACGCTGTGCCAGCCTGCAGGTGCTGCGCTGGACCGGCCGGCTGGGCAAGGGCGAGTGGCGCATCAGCAACCCAGGCCACACGATCGACTTCTTCCCCGCCGGCGTCGTGCCTCTGACTGCAGGCACGCTCGACGAGCCGGCATACGATGCCAGTCTGCTGCGGCGTCGTACGAGCAGCACGTGTGCTCTCAAGCCCAAGTCGCCGATCAGCGTCAACGCCATGCTCAGCGACCTCGAGCACGACGCGGCGCCGCCGCAGGCCTCGCTCGACGCGATTCTGGACCGCGACTCTCACCGAGCTACGAGCGAGTCGCTGCAGCGCGTCGTCGTCGGCAAGTACAGCAAGGAAGGCTCGGGGTCCGACAAGCCTCGCGCTGCGCGGGCGCCGCCGCCGGGGCTCCAAGTCCTCAATGGCCCGCTGCTCGCCTCGGCTCCTAAGTGGTCTGCAGTCGCTTCGAGCCCGCCTGCCATCGCAGCGCCGCCTCCGAGTAGCCCGGCGGCAGTGAGCAGCACGAGCTCGCCCGCCAAGTCGCGTGATCGCCGTGCGCCTACGACCTCCGAGCCGGCACGGAAGGCAGAGACGCGACAGACTGAGTGAGAGGGCGCCATGCTTTGCCAAGGTGGGCCTGTGTCTGACACTTGCCTCCAGCAGCGGATCAGCTGGCAAGGCGCGCCGAGCGGCTGGTGCCGCCAAGAAGGGTGCGCCTGCTGGTCCATCGCTCTCGCCGCGAGCTGTGCTGACTTGCCCGCCGCTCACAGCTGCACGCACCAAGTGATTCGAGCCGACGCTGCACGTCCTCTACCCTTGCCTGCGGCCGCCCGCGCACGGCCTGGGCCTGGCGCCGCTGGTCTGCGCCAGGGCCACCCACTGTCCCTTCCGACACCGCACCGAGCCGAATACCGAACGTCACACGAGACACAGCGGGCGCGCGCAGTGTGATGAGGTGTTGTTACAGGAGATACAGAGTAAGACGGTGACGGGATTGCCTGTGAGAGGCAGCGACGGGTGCTGGCAGCAGACACGGCCTCAGCCGGAGTGGCCTTCGCTGGCGCTCGCAGCTGCTGCGGCTGCGAGCGAAGAGGCAGCACGGGCGTCGTCGAGGAAGGCATGGGGCGAAGCAGGGTAACTGATGGACGGCGACGGCCCAGCGCCGCCGCCGGCGCCGCGAAAGGCAGAATGCAGCAGCGGAGGCGTAGTGGCGGCGGGATGGCGCGGAAAGACGGCGCCGGAGGAGGCGGAGGCTGAGGCGTCGGAGTCTTGCGAGGCTGGAGGATGATGGCTGTACGGCAGCGTCACTGCGTCGTCGGGAAGATCGGCGAGGCCAGTAGCATCGGCGTGCCGCAGAGGAAAGGAGGAGGAGCGCAGAGCAGAGTCGAGCAGAGAAGCCGGCGCGTCATCAGCAAAGCCCCACTGCGTCGAGCGCAAGTTCTGCAGCGCCGCCAATGTATCGTGCTCTCCTGCGGGCGCAGAGTAGGTGCCGCCACTGTACGCGGCAGGCAGCAGCGGCGGACGTGCGGGGCTCACGCTGGCCTCGAGCGTGAAGCTTGGATGTAGTGTGGGCGAGGCGGGGTCGAGAGGCGGACGCTGCGTAGCCGTAAGCAGAGCAGAGCTGCTGGTACTGCTGCTCGGAGCCTCGCCGTCGTTGCCGCCAAGGAAGCCGCGCGACGATGCAGGACTGCTCTCGCGGCTTGACGCGCGCGACGCTGAGCGAGCATCGTGCGCAGCTGGACTGGAGGGCGGCGCCGACGAAAGCGGGCTGTCGGCTTGCAGCGGCTCGGGCGCGTCGGGCCGCTCAGGCACGTCGGACATGTCCGAGTCGCTGTCGCTCTGGTCCGCAGCGCCCTTGACCCAGACGTTCTGCTCGCGCACCTTGCGTGCCTCGGCCATGGCGCTGATGGTCGGCTGCGGCTTGTCAGGCGCGGCAGACGGAGCCGGCGACGGCTGTGCAGTCGAGAGGCTGCCGTCGCTCGCAGAGTCGGCGGGCGAGAGACGAATGACGAGGGTGCGCTTGACCTGCGCGCCTGAGTCGTCCGTTGCTTGGAAGGTGAAATGGCCGACACGGCGCCCATCGTCGTCAGTCTGATTGAGCACCAGCGCGGCCTGCAGTGAGACGACCTCGCGCTGCAGCTGCTCAAGCTCATCAGGCGCCTCCTTGCCCAGCTTGCGGCGCTTGGCGGTGGTGAGAACGTCGGCGGTTGGCGAATGGCCTCTCTTTCTGGCGGCAATGCCAGCCTTGATCGAGGCGAGACGCGCATCGCGCTCTGCGATGCGCTTCTGCTTGGCCGTCTCGCGGGCGAGCCGGGCCTCCTCCTTCTCCTTGGCCTTAACAGCCGCCTGCTGCGCCTTGAGCCCGGCTTTGTCCTGCTTTGCGGTCTGAGGCGTCGACGCAGACGCGCTTGCTTCGCCGGCCTCCTCTGCGGCTACCTTGTCTTTCGGCGTCTTGGGGACCGCACTGACGCTGTCCTTGGCCGCAGCTTTGGGCGCCTTGGGCTTCTTGGGCTTCTTCTGCGTCGGACGGCGCGCAGCCGCGAAGCCGGTCGGGCCCTGAATCTTCTCGAGGCCGTACGTGGCGAGCAGGTATTCGTGCACGCTGCGATGCTTGATGGAGCCGTCGGGATTGCGCAGCATCGTCGAGAGACTGAGAGCTCTGTTGAGCTCGCCGTCGCGCGTCTGTAGCAGGTCTTCGAGGCCGCGGGCGCGGAGGCACATGCTGCTCAGAGGGTCAGCGCATGCCGCGGGCGGCAGAGGAAGGCAGAGCACTCACGAGCAATTGCACAGGCCCTTGCACCGCGGGCAGACGAAGCTCCGGCTCTCAAAGTCGGCGATGATGTGGTAGCGCACGAGCAGACACGATTTGCAGTAGAACAGCGGACAGACGTGACCATCGTCGTGGAAGCGACAGCGCATCTTCTCCTCCGTCGTCTTGCGGCGACACTGGTGGCACGTTGTGCCGTCGACTGTGTCCTGTAGCGCGCAGCTTGTCAGCCAATCGAGCCCTCAGCGCCCAGACACGACAGCGCGTGCTCACCGCCTCTCCGACAGGTCCACTTCTTCTCGGCCGCGGCACTGTGGCCTCGACAGGCATCACCTCCTCTACTTCATCTTCCTCCTCCGACTCCTCCTCGACAGGCGGCGGCGTAGGCGCTCGAATGGCCGTGCCGGCGAAGTAGACGAAAGCCTGTCTCTGTCGCTCGCGCAGCAGCGGCACGTCGACGAAGGCGGCTTCATGTGACGTGCCAGGCAACGGGCGCGATGTCGTCGTGCCATGCTCGTCAATCCGCAGCGTACGCTTGGTGCCGTACGTGCCGTACTCAGCCCATGTGGACGACTTGGGTGGCCGCCCGCGTCCTCGCGGTCGGCTGGGCTTGCCCGTGCGTACGACATCGTCGTCACCAGGCGCGACTGATTCGGACGCTCGCATCGACGGCGTGTCGTGTGAATGACTCGGCGCAGCAGCAGTGCCGAGGCCCAGCTGCTCCAGCAGCGCCTCATTAGCGCGCAGCTTGCGCTGCCGCATCTCCTCGTACGTCTCGCCCGGCAGCTGCTGCTCCTCTTCGGCCTCGTTCGTGGCCAGCAGAGCCTTGAGCGACTCGAACATCTCCTCCTCGTCCTCCTCGTCGCTGACGTCGTTGAGGTCGAGCTGTGGCCGCTGTGACGCCTCAGGCTCAGGCGAAGGCTCTGGTGAAGGCTCGGGCGAGGGCTCGGCTGAGGCCGCGGGCCGAGAGGCTGCTGGCGAAGAGGCCTGGCTGTGCGACGACCCGGCGGCGGCGGCGGCGGCGGCGGCATCACGCACTGGCGATGAGGCAGGGCTGCGCGATGACCTGGCAGCCGAGGGCGCTGGCGAAGAAGCATGGCTGCGCGATGGCCCAGCGGCAGAAGGCGCTGACGAGGCCTGCTTGCGCGATGACACGGCGGCAGAAGAGGCTGCGCGTGCTTGTTGTGAAGCTGAGTGCGAGTGCCCCGCAAGCAGCTCCTGCAGCAGCTTGGCTTCCTCCGCCGCAGCGGCTGCGTCCAGCCTTGCCTGCTCCTCATCTTCCGGCGACGGGCTTTGGGCGTCGAGCTCGTCGACGTCTGAGCCGTCTCGCGGCGGCGGCGTTGATGGCTCCCAGAAGTCATCGCCGATAGAGGACTGCTGATCTGCTGGCAGACACGCTTGTCGCTGCGCACGCGTCAGCCAGTCCTTCTCTTCGGCCTCATCGCTGGAGCTCGACGGCGGCAGCGCCGCATGCTGCAGCCAGTCGGTGCCGCTTGGCACGTACGACACGCCAGGCGGCTGTTTCACAGCTGCGGTGCGCTTCTTGCCACTGCTGCGCTCGGGTCTGGACGAGGGCCCCGGCTGATTGAGGCGCTCTTCCTCCTGCAGCTCATCGTCGTCGCTTGATGGCTCGAGCTTGACGAAGGTGACGCTGCGCCGACTGCTGCTGCTGCCGCCGCGTGCCGAGCTGGAAACGGCACGAGACGACGAGGCGTCTGCGTTGCGCAGCGCCGCCTGGCGCGTCGGCCGAGGCATGCTGGCGGACACACGGACTTGTCCGTCTGCAAGAGGACTGACGCACCGCTCCGCAGCAGCAACGAGCGAGGAGGGTCGCTCAGCCCGTGCGGCAAAGCACAGAAGTGCGTCCTCTCAGCCGCTCCACAGACGACGACACTGGCGTCGCGTGAACGGCGACGAGCCGGGCTGGCGGACAGCGGGATGAGGGCGCGTGCGAGGCGCGGCGGTGTGGAGTGCGAGCAAGAGGAGCGACGCGCAACCAGGGCGGGTTGGTGGGGTGACGGCGAGCCGCGCCGGTCAGCACAGCGTGAGCCGACGGTGCGGCGGCCCGTGGCGGGATAAAGATGAGGGTGAGTGAGCCGGCAGGGTGCGCAGCATCGAGGTGGCTGGGAGGAGAGAGGTGGAGCTTCGGCGGTGACTCCGAGGGGTCGCGGCGGCGCGGCGCGCGCGAGTGCTGGCGTGGTACGTGGGAGCATGCTGACTAAGCACACGGCCAGGCGCGCGGCGCGGCGAGCGAGCACAAGAGCCAGGGCTGCCGTGCCAGGCGGCGGCGCACGTGAGGCGCGTCGCAGCAGAGGAGCACGGCGGCGCCGCCGCCGGCACATCTTCCCAGGCCAGCTCTCACCTCCGACCTCACCCATCCCTCTCGCTCTCCATCGCGCCAGTCTCCTCCTGCCGCCATGGATCCCGCACAGTACGCCGCATACCAGCAGCAGCAGCAGCAGCAGGGCGCTGCCGCCGCCGGCAACAACGGCCAGCAGCGCCAGCAGGCCGCCTACTACGGCCAGGACGTCGATGAGGACGAGTTCCTCGGCGACGACGACGTCGACCTCATCCCTGCCGACTACAGCCAGCAGCCGGCCGAGGGCTACATTGATGATGCGCACAGCGGTGAGTGTGCACGCACGTCACGCCAGGCAGAGCGGGCGACGCAGGCGGGGCAAGCAGCGGACTGGCTTGCGGCGCCCAGGCATGCCCCCGGGCAGCGAAGGAGCTGGGGCAGCACGTCTCCAATGCTGAGTCCAGAGGACAGCCAGACTCATGTCCCATCCCCACAGCTGCGCTGCTCGAGGCGCAGCACGCCCAGGCCGCCCAGGCGCAGGCCGCTGCGCTGGCGCAGGTGCCCGACCCCGTGCGCAAGTACATTGTGCTCTTCCACCAGGCCGTGTCGAACAACTCGATCCCCGAGATCTCGAGCGCCTACGAGGGCAACTGGAACCGCCTGACGGAGAAGTACTACCAGAAGACGGAGTGGCCGGAAGCCGAGGTCATTGCGCCGCTTGTGGGCGACGGTGAGTGCGGGCGAGCGCTGGACCCAGCGCGAGGTCTGCGCCCTGCGCTGCTGCTGAGGCTGCTCTCTCCGCAGACCAGCGCTTCCTCACCCTCTACCGCGAGCTGTGGTACCGCCACGTTTACTCGCGCCTCTCGCCCGACGGCGAGGACCGCTTCCACTCGTACGACAACTACTGCGACTTCTTCAACTTCGTGCTGAGTGCGTGGTGGTGCCCGGCGAGGGCGTGGTGCATGTCCGGCTGACACGCTTGCGCGCAGACTCGGAGGGCCCGGTGCCGCTGGATCTGCCGGCGCAGTGGCTGTGGGACATCGTCGATGAGTTCATCTACCAGTTCCAGAGCTACTCGCAGTGGCGCAACAAGGTGTCGAACAAGACGGACGACGAACTGCTGCTGCTGCAGGACGGCGGCGTGTGGAGCTCGTACAGCGTGCTCAACGTGCTCTACTCGCTCATCCAGAAGAGCCGCATCACGGAGCAGCTGCAGGCCATCCAGCGCGGCGAGGACCCCGACGAGGTGGCCGGCGAGTTTGGCTCGCGGCCGTTGTACAAGCTGCTGGGCTACTTCAGCATCATCGGCCTGCTGCGCGTGCACGTGCTGCTCGGCGACTACACGCTGGCGCTCAAGATGCTCGACCACATCGAGCTCAACAAGAAGAGCGGCCTCATCAACCGCGTCACCGCCTGCCACGTCACGGCCTACTACTACGTCGGCTTTGCATACCTGATGCTGGGCCGCTACCCGGACGCCATCCGTGCCTTTACGCACATCCTCGTGTTCATCATGCGGCTGCGCCAGTACCACACGCGCAGCTACCAGTACGACCAGATCAACAAGACGGCCGACCGCATGTACGCGCTGCTGGCCATCTGCTGCGCGCTGAGCCCCACGCGGCTCGACGAGAACATCCAGACGACGATGCGGGAGAAGTACGGCGAGCAGTTCAACAAGATGAGCCGCGGCGCCGAGGGCCTGGCGGCGTTCGAGGAGCTCTTCCTCTATGCATGCCCCAAGTACATCACCGGCAACGCGCCGCCGTACCACGATGCCGAGGCGCTGCAGCAGTACCAGGACTCGCCGATGCCCGACCCGGCGCAGCACCAGCTCAAGATCTTCCTCGCCGACGTGCGCACGCAGCTCAGCAACGCCAACATCCGCTCCTTCCTGCGTCTGTACACCAGCCTGGGCACCGACAAGCTCGCCAACTTCCTCGAGGTCGACGAGGAGGAGCTCATTGAGGAGCTCATGGTCGCCAAGGCGTGCAGCCGCAGTGTCAAGTGGAGCGAGGGCGGCCTGCTTGAGGGCGAGGTGGTCAACACCAGCGACCTCGACTTTGTCATCGATGGCGTGAGTACAAGCTGGCGTGCAGCGTCGCGCGGTGTGCTCATCTCGGCGCTCTGCAGAACATGGTGCACATTGCCGAGTCGCGCGTGGGCCGCAAGTTCGGCGAGTGGTTCATGCGGCAAGGCATCCGCATGAACCAGACGCTCAACAGCATCAAGAGCAAGCCGCTGCCCATCGCCAGCGAGGCCACGCTGGCCGCCGCCGCTGCCGCACAGCAGGCCGCCGCCAACGCACAGGGCGCGGCGGGCGCGGCCGAGCGGGGCGCTCCGGCGGGCCGTGGTGGACGGGGAGGCAAGAGCGGAGGCGCACCGGCGTGGGGTGGTGCTGCTCAGCGGACGGCCGCGGCCTGAGAGGGAGGCTGGCTGGAGGGATATGCCTGGCTGCCGTGTATGCGCGGGGCCGGAGCTGCAGGATGCACGTCACTGCCTGCGTGGGCAGGCGTGACGCCAAAAGGTGCCGCTGAGGGGCAATGTACCATCATTCTCGCGGACCGCGTCGTGGTGAGAAGGAGCCGTCGAGAGGTCGATCGAGGTGCGAGGCTACTGGGTGCGTCCAGCAATAGCTCCCTCGAGCGCCGTGAGACGCAGCATGCCCATTGCGCTCGCGACCAGCGCCTCGAGTTCGCGCTTCGACATTGAAGCGCACGCCAGGAAGCGAGGCTCGTGTACCTGGGGCAGATAGTCGAGCGAGTCGCTGAGTACCCGAATGGCCGGGACGCTCTGGGGCTGAAACGACAAGGGCACGGGGCCTTCGTCGAGGAGGGCGGCGCCATCCACGAGGAGAAACGCGCGCATGTGGCGCCGGACGTCATGTGCGTCCAGACGAGGGCCCCAGATCGAGCCGCTGAAGCCGTCTGCGATCTCGATGAGCAGTGGCTCGGTCGAGTCGGGCGCCGCGTGCGCTGCAAGAGCACGATGAAGGAGTAGCCGCGCCAGTGGCGCGATGGGCAGATTGACTGCTGACGTGAAGCGCAGGCTTCGTAGACGAGGAAAGAGAGCGCGCCCATCTTCGAGTCGACAGGAGAGAGCCCAGAGGAAGGCCAGACGCGCGTCCACCAGTGCTGCTTCCTTCTGCAGACCGACAGCAGCGAAGTGCAGCTCTTGCAGCGAAGACTGCAGTGTCGGAGTGCGTAGAGCTGCCTGCAGAAGACCGAGCTGGATGGAGGGCACGGCCGAGTCGACGACGGCGATGCTGAAGCCTACGATGGAGAGACGACCTGGTGGGACCCAGCGCAGCGAGCGAAGCGCCGAGAGGCGGCCGAAGGCTTCTTCGAGCGCAGGCTCGCCGAGGTGAGACTTGCTGCGGACGCCGAACATCTCGAGCTGCAGGGCAGAATACGTGAGCGGTGCGACATGAGTATGCTTGCCGCCGCAGTGTCCTACTCACAGAGATGTGGCTCAGGCGCTGCGGATTGCAAAGGCGCATCGCGCAGAGCGCCAGCGTAAGCCGCTCGTCGCCCTCGTTCCGTCTCGGCTGGCCGCTCCAGAGACGAAAGGGACTGTCTTGTGCCGCTGGAGGCGGCGCAGCTCCCGGCACGCCATCGATGCTGATCGTCAGTCGCCTCGTGTGAGCAGCGAGATGAGCACGGAGAGTGCCTTGCGCCGGCTGAACATCTGCCGTCTCGTCCTCGTCGTCTTGCAGCGCATCGGCACCACCTGCCGCGCCAATGAGCGCCCGCAGCTGTGCAAGCGAAGTGATCTGTAGCTCGGCGTACAGCAGCGGCACCACGAGGCTGAACATGCGGCGCGAGACGAGCAGCAGCGAGAGAACGCCGCTGCGCTCACGCACGCAGATGCCGAGCACGGCCTCTTGCAGCTCCGTCGGCAGCGAGGCCCACGACATGGCCGGCCGCTGTGCAGCGCGCTCACTGCGGCGCTGCAGTGCTGTGCTGCGTGTGCGAGGCCTGCCGGAGCGTGTGACTTGAGGAGGATGTGGTTGAGAGGGCCGCTGGCGAGGCGAGAAGGAGGGTGCACGCGCCACCCTGGCCGCCTCGGCTGTTCCCACGCTGCCAAAGCGGGCGCCGAGGGACCAGGTGGAGCAGCTGCACGCCTGCTGGCAGCTTGCACTCCGCACACCACACCAGCAAGGCGCCAGCTCCAGCTCAGGGCAAGAGCATCCGCGACGGCTCACGCAGCACGGCGCGCACACACGCAGGCAGCGCAGCATGCACACGTCGGCCGTCGGGCTGAGCGGCCAGCGGCCGGCCGCCTCGCTGCTGCGGCCGCTGCGAGGTGCGTGTGCGCCGCCACCTCTGCGCGCCTTTGCACTCCACTGACGTGAGCCCTTCTCAGAGCTGCTCACCTCCTCGCAGTTCCTTGATGCCGCAAAGCTCTTCGCCATCGGCGTGGCCGTCTCGTGCTCCCGCTCCATCGCCGAGGCCATCCTCCGCTCCGCGCGTCGTCTCGTGCTGTCCCACGCCGTGATCCGCGGAAGGGACGATGCTCACCGATGGGTCATGCACTATCTCACGCAACATCCGAGCATCAAGTCAAGACCAAGAGACGTCGAGGTGTCTGCCAGACCGAGGCTGGCGCTGTCGGGACACGACGGAGACGAGGCGCCGAACGAGGCAGGGCAGGGAGGCGATGAACTGGCCGGCATCTTCTTCTTCCCGGCGGAGAACGAGAGCTTGCACTTCAAGTTCAAGTGAGTGTACTGACCTGCGGCATCTTGAACCTCATCGCTGACCCCTCTCAATCGTTCAGGGGACACCGTGAGCGCCACTCAGTGTCGAGCAGCACGTTCGCCTGCTCACTCATGCTGCCGCAGATGTGTGGGCATCCCGCGCCCGCACGCTCGTCGGCGACACAGAGTGGGACGAGGTGCGCCTGGCGCTCCGCTCCTGATGGCACAAACTGACAGCCTGCCCTTCCTCCTTAAGACCTTGTCGCTCTCGTTCCTCACGCTCTCGTCGGGACCGCTCAAGGCATTCAGTGAGACGCATCCTAGCTCAGCCTCTACGCAAGCTGCTCACGCCGCCCCCTCGCGCAGTCGCCGAGTGCAGACGGCAGTACAACGAGTATGAGCGAGGCAAATGTGCGCCTGCGCCTCTCTTCTCTCTCGGTCCAGCCCTGACAGTGTCTCTATCTGCAGGCCAGATCTTCTCGCTCGACCGCTACGGCCGCTGGGAGACAAGCAAGGGCATCTCGAAGCGTGGAGCAGACTCGGTGCTGCTGCCTCGAGGCCTGAAAGAGGGGCTGCTGGATGATGCAAGACGCTTTCTGAGCGCCGAGACCCGGAGATGGTATGCTGATCGTGAGTTGCGCATGCCAGGCCGCGTGTGGACGAGGCTGACTTGGCACACCATGCTAGGCGGCATCCCGTACCGTCGAGGCCTTCTGCTCTACGGCATTCCCGGCTCCGGCAAGAGCTCAATGGTGCACGTCATCGCCTCCGAGCTCGGCCTCGCCATCTACACCGTCTCGCTCTCCGCCCGCGGAGTCGACGATGCGTCGTTCCTCGAGCTCATGGGCGCGGTGCCACCAAGGTCGATCGTGCTGCTCGAGGATGTCGACGCGGCGTTTGTGGAGCGCAGCGGCGGGAGCGGGAAGCCGCCGATCTCCTTCTCGACGCTGCTGAATGCGATTGACGGAGTTGGAGCGGCGGAAAGTCGCATCCTGGTCCTTACGACGAACCATCGGGAACGGCTCGATGAGGTGAGCGTCGCGCCCGCGCCTCGCTTCCTGACAGCGACATCTGACTGACCCCGCCCTCTCGCAGGCGCTGATCCGTCCCGTACGTCTTGCCTGCTCCTTCTCCTCTTCGCGACGCTCATCGCTGACGCCGTCGCTCCTCAGGGCCGCATCGACGTGCAGCTCGAGTTCAAGCACGCCACGCATTCACAAGCCTACGACCTCTTCGTGCGCTGGTTCCCCTCTCCCTCTCCGTCTCGCTCCGCAGCCGGCGAGAAGCAGTCCGACGGAGTCGACGCCCGAGCAGAGCGCTTTGCGTCGGCCGTGCCGGAGCAGACATTCAGTGTTGCTGCGCTGCAGGGCTTCCTGCTGTCGTGCGCCATGGACGGTGAGGCTGCGGTGCAAGGCATCGACGGATGGGTCAGGGAGTCGCTCAAGGAGCGCCAGGAGGCGTCGGTGAAGGCAGATGCCGCCCGAGTCAAAGGGGCAAAGCAGGCAGAGGAGGCGAGGGAGACGCTATGAGATCACACACGCGCATTCAACTCGCCGAGACTGGTAGATTGGACGAGGCGCCGAAACGATAGTGGTGAGCTACAGATGATGTGGGCGAGGTGTGTGAGGATGAGGATGGCTGAGCAATGCGATGTGGTGTATTCGCTGCGCTGGAGTTGAGTAATTGATGAGTGTAGAGAGGCATGGACAGGGCTAAAGTGATGAGCGACGATGGAAGCGGAGGCAAGGTCTGGCTAGGGTCTAGGCATGCGTCTAGGCTGGTCTAGTCTAGTGCCGCGATCGCGAGGAGGAGAGGAGCAGACTGGCGGAACGCGAGGCACGAGACGACGGGGCAACGAGAAGGAGGGGTAATTTCTAGGTGACGGTTGTTTGGCTTTGTGGACGATGACGCAGAGTGGATGGAGGAGCAGAGTCTTGAGACGCGGAGGCGCGGAGAGCTGGATCGACACGGACGGAAGAGGAACAGCGACGAGAGGCGGAGCTAGACGAAGTTGGCCTCATACTCGGAGCCACCCGAGAAGGCGCTCGTCGCTGCCGTCTGGCGCGAAGTGCCTCGCCCGGCCGGCCACGTCCTTTGCGCGCCTGGTGCCGAGGCGTCCAGCTCGAAGCTGGCACTGAGCCTCGCTGCGTCCTTCAGCGGCGCCGTGCTGCTCTCCTCGAGATCACCTCCGCCAACGCGGCCGGCGAGCTTCATCGTCTTGCGTGGCCTCGACGACTCTTCGTCGTCGACGTCGGCGCGAGAGAGGGCAGAGAGACGCGTCTCGAGCTGCGCGCCGAGGTCCGCGATCGTCTTGTCCACCGCAGCGTCGCATGGAGGCGAAGCGGGTGTCGTGGCGCCCGTGTCTGCGCCGCTGTCCGTGTCCGATGAGGAGCTGCCGCGACGCGAAGAAGCAGCGGACGAGCCGGGTGTGGAGCAGCAGACTGAAGCAGGGGCTGACGAGAGCGCCTCGTCGATGCTGCCCTCGTTGAGGTTCGTGGGACTCGAGGTGCAGATCGCATCGGTGATGGGCGCCTTTGGCAGTGCCTCGGTGGAGATCGGCGCGAGTGGGAGGGGCGTCTTTGGCAGTGCGGCCTCGCTGCTCGTGCTGCTGCTCGACGCGCTCGATGCGCTGTCCGATGCCCTCGAGCTTGATCGCCCACGACTGCTGCTGCTGCTGCTGCTGCTGCCACGGTCCGACTCGATCTCGTCGCTCGTCTCGCGCCGCGGCCGCGGCTCATCGTGCGCCTTGCGCGGCGGCGGTGCAATCTCCTCGCAGTCGTCCGACGAGGACTCGGCGCTGAAGTTGGGGTCCGTGATGGTGAAGAAGGAGTAGCCCTTGGGTCCGCCGCGGTACGTGCCGATGACGTGGTCATCGTCGCCTCCGTACTGCGAACACAGACGTCAGCCGCTGCTGCTGCTGCGAAGGCCAGCGTCGCAAGCCACTCACGAGGTTGACGGTGGGATAAGCATAGACGGGCCGCTTGCCACCCCAGATGACGCCGCCCTCCTCCCAGCCAATCTCCTCGGTGCGCAGCGGCACGTAGAGCGTCGTGTTGCTGAGGTCCTGCTCGGGACACTCGGGCGACTTTGCCGGGCGCGAGTCGGGCGGCGTGAGGCGGATCGAGGGGATGACGAAGCCGTGGCGCACGACGGGTGCCGGCGCTGCGGCGGCGGCAGGCATGGCGGCGCGCGAAGAGGAGGCGAGAGAGGAGGCCATGGCGGAGAGAGAGAAGAGGCAGAGAGAGGGCGAGACGGCCGGCCGTCGCGAGGAGAGGGCTCGAGGGTCGAGGGTGGAGGCCAGAGCGTCGAGCTGCCAGCTTCTAGAGGGGTAGGATATGCGCCGTGCGGCGGCGAGGCTGAGGCGGAGGCGAGAGGGTGCCAAAGCAACGACGGTGCGAGCGAGGTGGTGGTGCGGGGCAAGAGGGCGAGGCGAGGCGGTGACAGACGAGATAGAAGGCGGATCGCTGAACCGCTGGAGGCGAGCGCGAGCCTGGACTCGAAGCCGCCGGTCGGGCAGCGCGCCGCGGCGTGCACGCCGCCAGAGCCTCCTTCGCGGTGTCAGCCGCTGTGCGCCAGCCAGCGGTGCTGCGATGCCCCCTGCACCGACGGCCTGCCTGCCTGCCGTGCCTCTCACGCAGCGCTGGAATCTCGGCGGCTGGGCCCAGCAACGGCGTGCGTGCATGGCGCAGCGCAGCATGGCACACGAGCAGAGGACAGGCGCACTGTCAGCACCGCAAGACGTGGTCCCTTCGCCTGCCTGCCTTCATGCGCATGCACGCCGCCTGCGCAACTTGGTGTCCTGCTGCAAGCAGCGTTGCTGCCGCCGGCCGCCGGCCAGCGCTGCACGGTACAGGCGCGATGACGCGCAAAGTGCCTGCGCGCTGCAGGCGGCGGTGCTATTCGCAGCACGGCAACGGCGCCGCTCCTCGTGGGCCAAGGGCAGTCGAGCGGCCGCCTGCCTCGCCCTCCTGCTGCAGTTCGTCTGCGCTGCCGATCTCGCTCCCGCCGCTGGTGGCCTTCCGGCTTCTGCCCATCTCGCAAGATGCTCTCTCTCACAGCTTGGCCGCATCTCGTTTGCGGGGCGGACGCGCCACGCCTCCTGAGCGCACACAGCCTCGTCCTCGTTCTGGGGTCAGGGGGTTGGGGGCGACGACGCGGTCCCCCGATGGCCTGCAGGCCCTGCGAGGCAAACTGCAAACTGCAACTGGTGCATGCGAGACACACGCTGGGGTGCATGCTGCGAGCTGAACGCACCGAGCGCCGAGCGCCGAGCGCCGGAGCTGTGGTGCATGCAGGCGTGCATGCAGGCGCACGACGGGCGCCCAGCGCCCAGCATCAGGCGTGGCGGCAGCGCCCAGCAGAGGCGCTTTGCGGCACTTGCCGCCCGGCACACGACCACGCGGGAGGAGCACGAGGGGAGGAGGTCACGCCGGCGCCGTCCTCGCCGAGGCCACGCGGCGCCGGCCTGGCGCCCGAGCTGGGCGCCTTGGCAGCAAAGCGGCGCAAGCAGCGCGCGCGCGCGGCTGTTCCGAATCTCGGAAGCGCCTTGGGAGCACGGGAGCAGTGTGTTCTCCCCCCAGGCACGCGCAGGCAGGCCGGCGGCCGGCCTATGACGACGAGATGCGCCGCGCAGATCCCGCCAGATCCACGGCGCAGGTGCGCTAGCAGGCATGGCCTCGGGCATGGCCACCACACTGCTCTTGCGCCCCTCGCCGCCGCGCTCCACCCCCCCCCCCCCTCCCGAAGCCGGACGCCGGTTGCGCGGGCAAGGCCGGGCACGGAGCACGAAGACGGCTCCTCGTCCACCCGCCAGCCGGTGCCGCTCACATGCGCCTCAACTCTGGCGGGGCTTGGATCGGCGCCATCGCGAGAGGCTTCACGCTTTTGCCTCGAGGCAAACGCTCGCCACGGACAGAGGGTCAAGCAGAACAGCAAGTCTCAGCCCTCGCCGGCGGAGGGCGCCCGAGGTCATGCTGGCTCCGAGTTTTGGGACGACTCCCAAGGCGGGTGGTGGACCTTTGGGCTCGCTGGCGCGGAAGAAAAGGGCGCTTGCCGACGCCTGGTGATGGCGTCGTGTTGGCGTCAACTTAGGTGCCTCGGCGACGCCAAACGATGGCGACGAGAGACATCACAACACACACGCGGCGAGGCCTCCTAAGCGCACTCCTAAGCGTTCTCGGAGGCGCAAAGCCGGCACCTTGGCCTTGTGCTCGCCCTCGCTTGCCGCCGCCACCTGTAGCGGTATACACTCGCAGCACTCCCGCTTGCTCACTCGGTGACTCAGGAGGCGTGCCCTATCTCCTCAGTGCTCCACTGTATCGAGCCTGGCGCTCGATGGGCCGCCGCTGCTCTCACGCGAGTCGGCCATCGATCGAGCTCTTGCTGGCCCCCTGTCTTTTCGCCTGCGGGCGAGACGTTCCTGACACGAGTCGAAGGAATGGCACGACGTGGCCCAGCTTGGAGAGCGCCGAGGAATGCCAAATTGAGCATGGCCCCACCATGCACAGAGCTCGCGCCGCGGTGCGGCGCCAAAGTCATGGGGGCCGACCATCGACGGCTCGTCATGCGGGTGAACCGTGCGAAGCCGCTGCTTCGGCGAAGGCCGAGGCCGAGCGGAGCGCTGCGAGGCGAACTGCACCCTCTTGCGCCGTCGCTTTCTCTGTCGAGCGTCCAAGCTGTCAAAGCCGCACATCACTGCTTGGGACTCTACTTGGGAGGGGGCACAGGAGTCGGAGCGGCATCGCTGCCGGCTCTTGTCGACCCCTGCCTGCGTCTGCTGCCGCCCGAGGCAGTCTCTCAGCTGTGCGTGATCTCCCAAACGGGCGTCGAGGACGGCCTGAAGCCTCTCACACATCGAGAGGTCGTCACGAGCACGACGCCGCCTCGGCATCGGCAGCTTTGCGCTTTCTCACGCAAGAGCGAGAGACGGCCAGGCGCCGGCAGCCTTTCCGGCTGCGCTCGTGTTCCGTCGCTCTCGATGCTCCATTCGGGCAACGCACATCCTCGCCACTAGCTCGCCGAAGTAGCGGCTCGGTGCAGGAACGCTGTGGGGAAGCGCATTAGGCTGCATTGGGGGAGGAGCGAAGCCGAGATGCGAAAATGTCGAGGCACCTTCGACGTCGGCAACGCTGCACGCGGCTTCCCCGCGTGGGGGGGGGCGTGTCAGCAGGGTCCAGCGGGCTCCCGAAAGCGGCCCCGTCACGCTTGCCTTGTTTGAGCTGTACCGCTCGCGCTTTGCGCTCCGAAAGGCAGGCCCATGCTCGGCTTTCCTGATTGGGAGCGCTTCGAGTGGGGGGCAGGCGAGCAACACCAACGGTAGGCAGGCGTACCCCGCAGGAGGGCCGTTGCCAACGGCGAGGCCGCGCGGAGGTCGCTCCTTCAACGGCCATGCGCGCAGAGAGCGGCGGTCCGAGCCTGCCGCTTGCGGTCTGCGAGCGACTGCGACTAGCGACGTGTTGAGCAGAGAAAGTCGAGCTGGATTGAGAAAGTAATCTCGTGGTCGAGGTCGGGCTCTGAGCGGCTGCCGGCGGATGTGCGAGCTGAAATCGGAGGGCGCGTGAAGCATCTCGGCAGCGTCCTTGAGCGGGCCATGGCGTTGGCCAATTGCGCCGCGCCGCCTTCGCCGCGCGACGCTGAGCAAGGCGCAGAGGCGTGAAGGTGCCGGACTGTCGTGTGCGCAGACGCGACAGCAGACTCTGCTCGATCTCGAGCCTCATGGGCAGTGAGGCATCGTCAGCACGCCAGCGTCGGATGGGCGTCCCAGGCGAGCGCACGTGAGTTGTTCGCACGCTCCATGACATGCGCGCTGCAGCGTCAGGCGCGCATGGAGGCGAGGCCGCGACTTCCGAAGCGGCACGCGCTTCCCCGCATTTCAGACGCTACTCACCTCGGCCGGGCGTGCCTGGCGCCGCTCTTGCTTGCCCACCCTCATCCCCCCCCCCCCACGCGCGTCCAAGACATTGCAACGGCCATGGCACCGAGCACCGAGCACGGCGCACTGCGCGTCGCCATCGTCGGCGGCGGCATTGGCGGCCTGGCGTGCGCCCTCGGCCTGGCGCGCGCCGGCGTGCATGTGCGCCTCTTCGAGTCGGCGCCGGCGTTCCAAGAGAGTGCGTGTGGCCTCTCACACATGGTCCTGTACGCAGGGGGGTGCTGACGCAACGAGTGGGGCGCAACAGTTGGAGCAGGCATCTCCTTTGGCCTCAACGCACAGCACGCCCTCGAGCAGCTCGGCCTCGGCGCCGAGTTCCAGCAGCTGGCCACGCAGATCCCCACGGGCCAGTGGTTCCAGTGGCGCTGCGGCGAGGGCAACAGCGACAGCAGCAGCGCGCACGCCCTGCTCGGCGAGACGCGCTCGCCGCACGGCAACACGAGCTGTCATCGCGCCGAGTTCCTCGACCGCCTCGCCGGCCTGCTGCCGCAGGAGGTGGCGAGGTTTGGGCACCGCTTAGAGACTGTGTCGATGCCGGATGCGCAGGGACTGCAGGTGTTGAGGTTCAAGAACGGCGAGGAGTACCGGGCGCATGTGGTGATTGGAGCAGACGGCATTCACTCAAAGGCGCGCGAGATACTGGCAGAGCGAAAGGAGATTGGAGAGGCGAAGCTGAAGTGGTCCGGCACCTGGGCATATCGAGGTGAGTTGATGTGGGGCAGAGCGAGGCGTGAGGGCCGACGCTGACGAGAGAGACAAGGCCTCATCCCGACGGACAAGTTCAAGGCTGCAGTCGGCAACAAGCACGGCGAGCTCTTTGCCACGACTCCCCAAAGTTCGTCGTGCCTCCTTCTGTTGCCCCCCTCTTCCTTCTTCTCCCTTTCTCACGCCCTCTCTCTCGAGACCAGTGTTCCTGGGCCGCGATCGCCACATCCTCATCTTTCCCATCGCCAAGGGCGCCACCATCAACGTCGTCGGCTTCCGCACGGACCGCTCGCGCTGGCCACGCCGGCCCGACTTTCCGCTGGGCGACGCGTGGACGCAGGAAACGACGCAGAAGGACATGCTCGACGACTTCGCGGGCTGGGGCGAGGAGATGCTGAGCATCATGAAGGTGCGTGGGAGAGGGCGCGCGCGCGAGAGATGAAAAGCGATGCCCCCCTCCCCCCCCCCTCTCCTCCCTCCCGGCAAATGCTTTCCGCTTTCTCCCGACTGCAGACGCTGACGAGCAGCTCCCCCGTCTCGGCGCCACGCCGCAGTGCATCGAAAAGCCAAACAAGTGGGCTCTGCATCAGCTCAGCTCTCTCGACAGCTACACCTCCGACGGGCTCGTCTTGCTAGGAGACGCAGCACACGGTGGAGTGCCTCA